CTAGCAAAGCGAAGGGCTGACGAAATTCCACCACGTTGTGGAATTTTGCCGCCGCGTGCGTGAAATGCACTACGGTCCCACGTCAGCAAGTACCACGTTCGACATCTTTTTTAATCCCCCGTAAATTTTCGGAGAATTTTATCTCTTCTTCTTTCTCTCTTTTTTTAAATATTTAATATATAAAGTAGTACATTATACTCTTCATATACAATAATTATTCTTAATCCTTCTGTTTTAAATAACGAGAATTAACTTATTTTAGCTTTAAGTACGTATTCAGCTAGTAGTTCCTCTCTTTCTGTACCCCGCACGTTTTAACTGTTTCTCAAAATAATCCTTTCCTAATGCAAATGCAAATATCCGTACGGAAGATCGAAAATAATGGGACGTGCGCCGAAAAGGTCAAAAAGAGATCTCCTACGCTAGCTACATAAATTTTTTGAAATAATATTTGCGGTTCTCAAGAGGAAAAACAGTGCCTGGTTGTCGGACGTGCACTGAATCTTCGAGTGTTTCTTAAGTTTATCTCCCGAAGTGGAGCAACGGCAAAGTCAAGCATTCTTAGGATTCACGTACCGTCGCGTAAATCGTATATATCGGACGGAAAGTTACTTCCGCGTGGCTATCGCAACGATGAGAAGTCGAATGTCAATATCTCGAATTACGAAGCACGGAAGTGCTCGTCTTGACGAACGGAATCTCAAAATTAAGTTTGGGACAGTACGTACGAGTATTGTCGTAAGTATGTGTCGCCTATGGACTTTACTTTCTAACAATCTCACTGTAATTGTTACAAAGCCAGCATCCTGGACCTTAAGGGCAAACAGACGAAGAGACGGAAGAGAGAAACGTGTAGACAGCTCTTAATTACAATTTTATTCAATTATTTCATTCAGTTTTCCATTAAAGTCTGGTAAACTTTCGAGAAGCGTTGAATGTTCTAAGCGAAGATTAGAATCGAATAATTTGTCTCCGTCTCGACGAAAAGTTATTTCCGTCCGTTTTGTTTAAAGAATTTTAAACTTGGTAAAATTTCAATTTTATGTTATTTACCTGTGACTCGAATCGCGATATAGAATGATTGATTAATTTCAACTGTGACGTAACAATTAATTTTGACAGACTAGAAATGATCTTATCGAATTTTATTGCGGAATTTAAATGTTAAAAATGCACGAGATCATTAACTCGAACGGAAGACAGTAATGGAAACAATGATTCACGATTCGGGTGCGGAATGTATCTTTGGGCGAAGAAACTTCTTGCGAAATCATGAGCCTCTTTTTCGGGATGACTCGGGAGAATCTTATTTCGATACGGGAAAAGTATGAAAGCGATGAAAATGACGGTCTAGACTCTAGATGAAATAACTCATCCTCATCCTCGATATTTTATTAATCCATGGTGGTTTTCGGAAAAGTTGATCCATTATTTACGAAAACACGCTGTATCAATTCCGTAGTAAATAGAATTTCGTAGCCATGAAATGGTAATAAACGTATAATATTTACGGATTGTCTGATTATTTATATGAAAACGTTAGGGTTGCAAGTCGGCAATAGATTCTCGTTAGCGCGTTCGAAACGCAATTGCGTATCGCGCCGAACTTCACGGAGCATGGAGTAAGGGAGAATTCACACCTTGGCAAAAAAAGCAGAAAGCAGAAAAGCAGAAGCCAATTAATTGATAACTTAAATTTATCAATAACTCATTTAGTTATATCAAGTATGAACAAGTGTAGCACTGGATAGCTAATTGTAAGTGCACCTAATTCTGATTCGGCTTCTACTGTTCTGTTTTCTGCTTTTCTCTCAAGATGTGAATTTTCCCTAAGCCCGTGAAAGTCTACCGGCGGTATAGGAGCATCAATCTCGAAGCGCAAAGAGGTACCCGGTGTGTACCGGAACTATCAGACTCAGGCGCATGCCGCGCGCGAGGTGTAAATTTTTAAACGGTTCACGCTTCCCCCGAAAATCCGGATAACCCCGCAAATCCCACGTATCCGCTAAATCCCGCGTGTTAGAGTCGCGAGCGAAAAAGACGATATAGGCACGATCAAGACCTCATTAACGATGATAATCCTATAAAATCGAGATGAGTCATAAACGCGGCTGAAATGAGACCGTCGTTACAAAAATCGCTCCTCTCGTTTTCTTTTTTTTCTAGCACGGCACCGGCGGGGGGGGGGTGGGGATAACGTCTCCGAGCAAATATTCTCCTCATAAGGGCATCCACGCATTGCCGCGCGTTCGCCGCGTATAGCCCGTGTATTGACCGTCCAGCCGCTCGTAAAAGTCGCGCTAAACTCGTTATTGGAGGAGCAGCGAAGAAAGGCAGATCCATCTCGTCTGCTCCCACGTCCGTTCTCATAACCTGCGATATACTTGCGCCGAGAATTTAATTTTCCCGATGTGACGTGCGTGAATAAGCGCGAGTGATATACGTGTCGCACAATGTGCGCATCGCCTTATCCGCGATAGAATCTCGACTGTAATTCCAACGACCTAACGACAGAATCTGAAGCCAGTTCTAAGAAACTCATATGTATTTAAAAAAAGTCTTTTTTTTTTGGAAAAATTGATCTTATAAATTCATTGATCAATTACAGAGAATCGATGTATCGTCGTGTGTATTCATCGCTATTCGAGTTATGCTAATGGGATTCGCTATCCAGCTATACCGCTGCCGGATCCCACATGCACGAGTGAAATGCCAATATGGCTGTCAATCAACAATAACAGCGCGCGCGGGCATTTAATATAATTAGAATTTTATCAGGTCGTTAATTGTTGGACTAGTTTAAATCTTTAAAATACAACGATGGAGTTTGTTTTGCGCGATTTCGTACAACGAAAATGACAAACACGTGCGTAATATACATGCATCACATACGCGTATAAGGCAACATTATTTATTTATTAACGCGATCAGAATCAAACGATTGGTTCATTAAGTCAATTTACATTTTCCTATATTATTCATGATGTAATTATTTTTATGACGCAAAGTATTAATACAAATCGGAGTATTAATATGAAATATCGCGAAGTATTAATGCGAATGGAACAGGATGTAATATACCGACAATAACCGTGGGTTGCGTTCTATTGGAAAGTACATGTGACCACGCTTGAATCGATTTGTCGATCGGGCTCGTCACCGGCCGAGCTGTATTTACTTGCTCGAAACCTATCTACAGGTTCCTCTCACTCTGGGAATTATCGCGTTTGTTCGCGGCGACAGAATTCCTCGACGCTATATAGACTTTATTTTTCTTTTCCGACAATCCAGCCGTACTGTAGACGAAAGATATTGCAATGGCAAGACAATTTCATAATTTTTTTTTAACCAGGTAAAGCACAAAATTTCTGTAAGCGTTGCTTTACAAATATGTAAATTGAGATTGGAGAAGAGAAGCAATTATCCTGAGATACATATTTTATGTATAAGAGTATAATTTGCGTCGGAGGACGCGCATCAAAGTGTAATTCTTTGAACGCGGGGCGCTGATCAAAACAGCGCAATCTGTATGCATCGTATTGGCTCGCGCTAATGTTCTTACAGCACAATTTTTGCGAGATTATAAACCATGTCCGCCAGCGACGACGGGCATTTCACGTTGTGCGTCATCCCATTGTCTCGTCAAATCGCGTCTGTGTTTTATTTTCGTATTCCACAGTACACACAGACGCGAGTACAGGGTAAATGCACCGCGTGCGCGCGATACACCGTCGCGATAGCTGCAGAATGCATTTAAATGCATCTACAATGTCGGCGAAGTTGCAACAACGGTGGACAATGTGTATTGCAGAATCGGCCTCGGTTGCATTAGTTGCCACTTTATCGCACGTATATGGAAACATTTCATGGAAAAAGACGTGACTGTCATTGTACGTCGGCGGAAAGTTTCCGTCTCGAAATTGCTAATGTGCCGCGACTTTTTCCATACTCTTAGTACCCTTCAAATCAAATAGAATTTTGAAATTTTTAATAAATAATATTAAAGAAATTTCGTGGATTTCGCAAATATGTGATAAGCGATTTAAAATTTTGTAAAATATATTTTACAACATCTGACAAACGAAGTATAATAAATAAAGTATAATAAATAGCTATAAAATATTCAGTAATCATTTGAGATATTTAATATTATTAAAAATAATAATATATGACGTAAATAGAAATAATTGGATCTTAAATATAATCCTGAGAAACGTAAAAATACAACTTGCAGACGTAAGATATTTAGAGATGAATATCGTGCATTATGAATGATTAAATTCTATTTATAATTAAACTAATCATACGAGATGACGTTCCGAAATGGCCGCGCGTTAACTTTCACATGCTCGGCCGTTCGATATCGCTCAGAATTCCATAAATATCAGCTCGGAATAGCGCTTGCGAGAGAGATAAGCGATTGGCGTTCATTCGAATTTAATCAGGCATGGCCCTTATCATCGTGCGTGCGCGAATTTTGGCATCCGTCGCGGTATCGCGCGCACACACTGAATAATGAAGAAGGACAAAGTAAGGAAAAAAAGGGGCTGCGAGTGGTCAACGCGGTACTTGGTGCATGGAAAAAAAGTCAACCGTTTTAATAAGTAACTTTCAATTCTATCACTTGAACGTTTCGGCTCTGATTTGACGCCCTTCGTTCTCCGCATACATGATAAGCATTATGAATTCATCCATGCATGTGTCACTTATATAATCGGTCGGTAAGCCGAATAATTTTAGAAAGAGGCAATAGCCTAAAAATAATAACACGCCCTAATTTTTTTTATATCGTATTTCCAACTTAAATAAAGATTGAAGATAAAACACGTACCAAGCGTGGCAGAGAAAATAGATCAAAAAGCATAAAGTGAAATGCAAAACATTAATAAATAAAATGTAAAAACAAGTAAAAGCGAAATAAAAAAACAGAAGTTGAAATAAAAATTAAAAAAAAAACATGTTAAATCGATATTCGAAATGTATCGAGTTTCTCGAGAATTAATTGGTTCTCTCGCTGCGCTGACTTCGTGAGCGGCTGTCATCGCGGAGATTTTGACAGTTTTATGTATTGAGGTTATTGTGTGTTGAGTTGTGGTTATACATTTTTAAAAATTCAAAATAACACGCGCACGCGAAACCGCGCATCTGTGGCGTCTAGTAAAAATTTAAAAAATATAAAAGACATGAAAGACGGGATGTAGTGTTCGCAATTGCGATCAACATAGAATGAGACAAGTAAGAACAATTGCATTAAAAGACCGAAATAATTCAATAAATAGATAGCGAAGTCAAGGAAAAAATGGGCATAATTAACAGCTTACTGAGAATTATATACGAACAACATACGCGTATGTTTTTTTCTCAATTCTCAATTTTCTGCGTGGTGTAAGAGAATTCCATGTCTGATTGTAAATTAAGACTTTTTTTAATAAAAAAGAAATCGTCAACTATTGACGTTAATGACAACCGATTTAGTACGGAAACTAAATCGCTACCGCGAGTCGAATCGATCTAGCAAGTGGGGAAGAATAATACTGTTATTGCCGAGTACAGGAGCCGAGTGCAGAACCCGTTCGCGGCACATATTTTCATTACGGAGGAACGAACATTTAATAACGAAATGGACGCGAAACAACAGACTGAAAAGGTGAGATGATTGAATCGTGTCATAATTGCGCAGTCAGTCGCATATATCGCGGCATCGAAATGGACTCTCTTTTTTTTCCTCTGCCACCGTCTTGTTACTTCAGAAATAATATTTGCCTTCTGTATCGTAATGAGACTGCCAAGACATTTTCAATTTTGACACAGATGCAACAATACCAAGTGTTATCGATATGAATAAAAAAAAAGTCAATAAGGGGAAAGAAGTGCAAAAAGGATGACGAGTGGAATTTTTACCGAGGAATATTGATGATACTTATTTCAAAAATTGGTATGAAAAACACATCTTTCTTGGGCGGAAACCACATAATTTTATGATATTTATACGTCGTAAGATGGATTCGCGTCGTTCCTAATGGTGAGCAAATATTTTTCGGCGAGGAACGCGACCACTTTGCTCCGCGCAGACGGACGAGAATAAGAGCGCTTATAAAGGACGGGAGGGACAGGAAAAAAACTCGCCGGGATCGCAGGACTGGCAACGATCGGCACACAAGTACAGTTTCTGGATCGAAACTCGATTATCACGTTATTAGATTCACCGCGGTTACGACGGGCACTACCGGGAACAATTATCGGGAACGTATTTTCCAGGAAAATAAATTTTTACGTCGGGAGGGAGGGGGGGGGAAGGAGGACTAATGACGTTAACCGCGCGGTATACTTGGGCATACCCTTACGTCGCGTCGCCGCGTCGGCTTTTCTTTTTGGATATGATTTGATTTATCTCGCCCGCCTCGTTCATGCGGGCGGCGCGGGCGGCACGGTGTTACGCCTAAGTAAGTCGGGGAACGATAAATTCGACGGAATTGCGTAGATTTATAGTCCCCGCGGCTTCTCCCGGGGGTTGCAGTAAAGCGACGACGGCGCCGGAGTCGTCTAATCCGCATTAATGGCAACCGGGGAAAATTAAACGCAAACTTTAAGCGTTCTCGAAACGTTAACTCCAGTACAGGGCGTCTTTCTGTCTTTCTGTTTGCCTTCAATGTTATGCGTATGGAATTAAAGCGCGGAAACGATCCATTTAGGTGGATATTACGAGCGGAGAAATGACTTTAGAGAAGTCGTATAACTTGAGAAATATGGAGATTTATTTTGTCCGCGATCACAGCAATATAACACAGCGATATAGATTAATAAAAGCAGTATACTTTTTTTTTTTTAAAGCTTTCTATATATGCGTGTGCGTGCATTGACGCAAGTTTACAAAAAATTCAGGTTTAATAAATGGGGACATTTGTCGAATTTTGAGAACAAATGTTTTGTGCAAAATAACAATGAAAACAACGCGAAACCATTTTCGCGCGTGATTATACATGTTGTATTAATAACTCGGATTTGGTGTGCGGTGAAAGAGAGAAATAACGTTCCGCGACACAGAAGCGTAAACGCGTCGTCTTTCACGAGCGAAAATAAATACGTGTGGATATGGTATATCAGCCTGTGGCCATCAATTATTGCGAACGAGGCGAATCCAATTATCCATCTATACTACAGGGCAGTATTCAAAGCGCGAGTTGTGATTATACCGTAAAATGCTGATTGAATAAATGCCAAAAAAAAAAAGAGAGGAAGAAGGAGAAAAATAAGTGTTCTGCGAAATTCGTAGGGAATAAAGAGGCAAAACAAGAACTACAGATAAAGTTTCTAAATGTCGTTCTGTTTAGTGCACTTTGAGATGTATACCGCTCAGACCTGCAGCTACATTCTGTATCACTTGCAGTCTCGAAATTGAAAATAACGATCTTGTTAATTGCTAGCTTTCACCTTAATTCCAATCGTAATTATCTCGCTAAGATTCTCATCCGTGTATTTAGTGCATAAGTATTACGATGGTACATCATTAATGGAGCAGCGCGGGATATTGTTAAAGATATTCCGCGTCGTTGGGCTGAAGACGTTCTATCTTAAGGACCAGATAGCAGTTCTAAATCCTCCGCGTTGCAACGTCAAGCCCGTGGCACATGGAAAAACGTGAAGCAGTAAAACGTACGCAGTAAGCAAATCGGCCAATCACAATAAAAAATGTAAAGTACACTGTTAAATCTATAGTGTCAAATTTAACCTTAGTTAAGTCGCCACTGCTCCTACTTAATAAATAGTTATTTTTAACTAAAACAGTGGGGTTAAATAATTTAAAAACAGTTCAAATCTAACCCAAATTTGGATTAAGTTCCATTGTTTTATTTAAAAATAACCATATTGTTTTAGTTAAAAATAACTATTTATTAAGTAGGAGTAGTGGCGACTTAAGTAAGGTTAAATTTGTCACTATAGATTTAACAATGTAACAATCTCACGTTCTCTACTGTGATTGGCCAATTCACTTACTGCTTTACGTTTTTCTATGTGTCATCGGCTTTACTGTTATGCGGGTACGCTGCTAACTCGGCAGAACGCGAGAGACATGCCTCTGCTCGTATACATTATCATCGGATGACGGCGGGACGTTCTTCGTGGGTTGCGAGTTGAATAGTTTGTTAGCCGAGAAACCGCGCCAACTTTTCTCCATACATATTCCGACGTGGTCCATTGTCTCGTCTTTCGCTCCTTCAACCCACCCCCGCGATCTTCATCCCACCCCCTGTTCTTACTAGACGTTTCGTTTAACAACGAACTTTACGCGCCTTGAAAGATACTTGGAAAGATACGCGGACCGCCCGTGGCTTGGTTTCGGAACAATATTCGTATTGCTCGACTAAAATTGCGGTATAAGGCTTTGACTATATAAATATGGACTGCTAGGTCTCCCCACTTTTACTATGTAAAAGACATATGTCCGGTGTCGCCGAGCTGAAGTTGGTTGAGGTATCGAACTTTTTTCGAACTTCGATTTTTAGACTCCATCCCAGTCAGGAAGAAAGTGTCAAATATATCAAAATGTATTAAATTGATTATGTTGAAAATTGATAGGGAGTCGGAAAAAATCTCAAATCGGCGGAAAGAAATTAAAAACAGAGTCAGCACCTTTTCTTTACACGTCGTGAACACGCTGATTTCACAGGAGCCTTCCCCTTCCCCGCAGAAAATTATTGACTGGGGTGGAGTCTACAACTTCCAGTTTGGCGACACGTATAAAATTAATTACTATCAGTCCATACTTATATATAGTCAAAGGTACAAGGTAGGCAAATCGACGATCGCTTGCCGCGTTTATCGCGACGCGATAAGAGCGCAGTGTGTCGCGAAGATGCGTCTGAGAGTTTCGCTTTTGAAGAACGTACGAATTAGCATCTTTTTAATCAACGCTGTCCTTTCTGTGACAGCCTTTTCTTATATCTTACGCCTTACATCTGGCGATACGAGATCAGCAAAGTCACGTACATTTATACAAGAAGCTAATCCTAAATAACGGATCCTAAACTAACAAAACAAAAAGCAGGCTGCTTTAACACAAGCACGCTATTTGAATAAAATATATTTGAAGTTTTCGTGTGTGCGTTTCATTTATTTCCCGTCTTACTTATTTATCTTTTTTATCTTATCAGAATATTTAGAAATATTATGTACAATTCCTGCTATTCTATCATTTGCAGCCTCAAATCTAAGTTAAATGTATATTTTTCCAAAAAGGTGTTTTACAATACTTATAGATACTCTTTCGCCAGCCACTGTCACAATTAATTATTGCTGCATATTTGAATAAGCCTCATACTTGGGAATTTTGCATCCGCCAAATTAGAATTCCACGAAGATGAAATCGCGCTAGGGGTGTCTCGAGACAGCTATTCGGTGCCCAGACCCCATTGCAGTATAGTAGGGTTGTTCGCAATTAGGAGCGTTTCTCTCCCGGGATTTGCTGCTCTTTAATCCGCGCCCATATGCACGGCGTATAGCATATCCATGGCATTGACATCGCCGTATTTCCCATTAAACGAAACTCGAGATACATATAGTAGTCCAACAGTAGAACAGTGAGAACGAGGAATATCGCGGGATTACGTGTTACAAAGGGAATGCGTGTGAACACGTCTTAATCTCATTTACCGTCGAATTTAACGCTGAATGTGACCGCCTGAGATGCCACGCGCAATATTCTGTAATGCGGCGCAGAAACTCAGATCTCCAGACGGGATCCGAACAGCTACGAATAGTTTCACATTTATATATAATAATAGCATGTCATTGTTCTAATCTTATTGTACCTTAGATGGTTTTAGACAAAAGCAACCTGATATAGATTTCCATTTCTATACTATATATACTATTCTATTCATAATTTACGATTATACAATTAGCTCTCGGTTTGGAATTATAGGATCAGTTATTACAACTATATACATATATACATATATACGATTAATTTGCTTCAGATGCAGCCCAAGATGACCGTCTTGTGTACGCTACTGACGTTCGTAGTCGTCGTCGCAGTTTCGAGTCTCACAGCCGACGCAATACCGCATAGGTAAGGTCTCATTCATGTTGAGCGATAAATCAAAGAAAAAACAAAATAGACATATCGATGAGTATTATTAGAGTATTATAAAGCTCAATGTCCACGATGCCAGAAATCGAGTCGAGATATCAAACAAAGAGAGAATTGATCAATCACATTTGAACAATTTAGCCATTTGATTAATGCGATTGATCAATTTTCTCTCCGTCCGAGATCTCGGATTTATTTTTAGCATCGTATATACATACAAGACTTTAAAATTAATAAATCAGCCCGTGTATTAAGTCATACAGAATGCCCGTGAGTTTTCTCTCTTTCTTTCTTTTCCCTCTTTTCAAAGGCTTATACACTGTAAAAGAAAAATGAATTCGATTGATGGAAAAGAATGAACTATTAGTGAATCTTTTAGCTAATCGCACCACTGCCTTGATTAATGATTAGTTATTCAACAATATTTACTTGGCGCGTGAAATTAATTTTCAAATATACTTATAAAATCAATGCAAATTCGCGATTGCTCCGTGCGCGTATTTACAATTAAATGAATATATTGGACGAGTAGCAGAAGTGCATCTCTGCTCGAACGGTTTAACCTAGTTCCCGTTTGACGACGCGCCAGCCGATAGAAAGGACTCCTGGTAACTGCAGAAATGACTCGCCGAACGACGTTTCAAACAATCGCGAAGGATAATTTCGAATTGCATGCGCGCGCGCGCGCGCACACACACACACACACACACACACACACACACAGAAAGAGGCGTATCTATTAACGTCGTCCCTGAATTATACTTGTCACAGCCATATTTTTATACAGCTCGCTCACCATTCGATTCAGCTTCCAGAGTCTCTTTTTCGCGAGAAAAAAATAGATTTTTTTACAGAGATCGCAAGTTTTGATTCTTATCGTCATTCGTCTCTTTTTCCAGTTAAATTACATTTTCTACGCGCGCTCCTTATCTCGCAATTCGATGCTTGTTGCTATACACACGATTTTCGCGACAAATCGATTAATTCCAATTTTGCATCATGCACGCAGCCAAAGTTATTGGGATCCGCAGGCTGATATAGACCAAGACGAGTTCATAGAGATACTCTCTCGCCTTAGTCGCGCTGTGATGAACCGCCCTGAGATGGAAAAGTAAGATAATGTCGCAAGTGACCTTCATATATGTTATACATAATTTATGTTACGTGGATTATAGTGCCTAGCATGTGTGGATTATTAATGTATAGTTAAATATACCTACACTGTTAAATCTGTAGTGTCAAACTGAATCTTATTTAAGTCGCTCCTGCTCCTACTTAATAAATGATTATTTTTAATTAAAACAATATAGTTATTTTTAAAACAATGGAATTTGAGTTAAATTTGAACTGTTTTAAATTATTTAACTCCATTGTTTTAGTAGTAAAAAAGATCTATTTATTAAGTAAGAGCAGTGGTGACTTAAATAAGGTTCAGTTTGACACTATAGATTTAACAGTGTAGACTACGTTTATATTGCTCGATAATATTTTAGGTTAAATTGCCAAGAAACCTTATTAAAAAGGTCTCTAATAATAATTGGAAAATCTAGTTTGAAAAGTCTCAAATTAAACCGTGGTGCAATAGAAAGCATTTCAAAAGGAATTTTGAAACTTGTCTCCTATTCAATGCTTCGCTCTATATTTGGAAACGTTATTTTCCCGTTTGTATTTCTTCCGTACCGCAGTGTGGCTCCTTTATTTGCCTTCAATTCCACGGCTTATAAATGGAACCGCTCATTTTAGGAAGGGCTTTATTTTAAAAATGTCGATAATGGATTTTCATTGTACGTGTCCTTTTTTGCACGCGGCACACATTCGTATATAGAAGAGAAATTTCGTTCCGATCAATTGATATAAGAGCAGCAATAGAAATCAGAGATGTCTGACTCTTACATACAGTTATATGCGTCGTGATTCTACCCGAAATTCGCGTTTCCTCGAAACGCGGAACGCGTGTTCCAAAGCCCTTTCTAAGATGGTCCATTCGAGTAGCAGCGAATTGACGAACCATCCATATGATCGGCACGTTCGCAGCGCCAAACGAGGAATGGATCTGGGTGTCAATCGTGGCTTCAGCGGTTCTCAGGCGGCGAAACACCTGATGGGGCTCGCGGCGGCGAATTTCGCCGGCGGTCCCGGACGAAGGCGTCGCTCGGAACAGGCGTAGATCGCGGACACGATCGCTGATGCAGAGAGATTACTACACAACTCGTAATAACGTCTCACCACACACACCCCTCCCCCCCTGCCCCGACTCCGAACCTTCCGACACACTTTGCCTCTACCTCGAGCTTGAACCACCGATCTCAGAATCGTCGTCCGTTGCCAGTGGCGTAACTAAGTGCACTCGAGCGCGCTTAATTAACCCTTCTTCTTAAATAATATCTGTAGAGCGCGTATAGACCACATACGCTTCCTCCAGAGCGCAGATATAGTATAAGTTCCCTATTAAGAACTTATCAATCAAAAATTACGATTATAGATACGATTACAGTTAATCGATGTTGATAAATTTGATCGATTTTACATTTCCCCAGTTTTTAGTCCTCGCACTTAGGAGCTTCGCACACCCTCCCCTCCTCCTCCTCCCCTCTTCTAGTTGCACCACTGGCAGTTTGCAGCAGCATCGCTAAATTGCTCTTCCTTTTGTGTCGTTTCTATAAAAGCGGTTGTGATAAAATATTGCTCCGAAAACGCTGGCGAAAATGCTTTCATTTAAAATGAATTCGAAGTAAGTGTAGCCTGTACATTTATGGTGAACACAAGTAGCGTGGATTAAATAGATTATTTATTTGTGTTCTACATTGATTCAAGTAGGGTATACAGTTCGATTAATTATTTGAGAATTGATTAATAATAAATGACAAGGGTATTTTCTAAAAGTCTTGCATAGACTAATTTAGGTCACAGATTTTCCGTTCTTCACTTACATCGAGATCTTGTATAATAATTTTACAACCCTGATTTTATGGGACAAACCACTCGACTTGCTTTTACTTAAATTATTCCTTCCTCCTTTCAATCGACGAGGGAAAACTCGAGGGCGCCGTAAAGGTATTCTCGCCAGGTATCGTTATTGCATTTTGTTCCATCGCCATATTTATTTGTTACGCGTGAGCCGCGTACCGGATTAGCAACATTTATTCGTGCCGCAAGATGGATGAAGTGGAGTAGACGTCAGCATTTCGCTGATCCAGCAAGAGGGCTCCTACGAGTCGCGCCTCCGCGAATCGATGACGCTCCGCATTTCCGGGATTGCATTTATTCCAGTCATTACTATCTGCAATTGAAATCGTATACCGCCGACGAGTATTTTCTCTCTCTCTCTTTCTTTCTCCCCCGGATCGAGCAGCGCGCGCGCCAGAGAGAATTTTCCCTTAATCCTTTACGCGCGCGGAATAATTTTTCCCCCGCACAGCATAGCTTCCGTAAACGCCCAGCTTCGTTAAACTTTCATACCAAACGACGTATTGTACGAACGCACCGCGCACCCCTTCGTCTCTCTTTCTCTTTCTCTCCTCCCTTCTTCGATATTCTAGCGACTCTTGTAAAGAAAAAAAAAAAGAAGACTCGTCGTACTTACTATGATAATCGTAATATCGATGTTGCGTTTGTTAGGTCAGGCGTTCTCAAACCTCGTTTTAGCGCCGACGCTAAAGGCAAATATATCCGCGTTGCGGTGCAAATTTCTCACCAGCAAAACCTGATTTTTCGGTCGGTCGGCTCAGAGTTACGTGCAGAAGGAACTTGTCGCGTTGGTAGCTTCGGACGATCGTATATATATATTTTTTTTTTCATTTTATGCGCATCGAGCGTTTTACGGGGCACTTCGACGTGTGTCGGGCGAAACGATTTTGAGGACCCTGCTACCTTAGGTCACTTTGTTTTACTAGCTCCAACGTCTGTCAACATCTTAGCGTCTTATGTAACACGCAACGTGCACCGGATGCACATACGCGCTTGCATAAAACAAGATCGTGTAAAAGTGCGACGTAGAGGTAGTAAAACTTCGTCCCCCTCTTTCGTGTTATAGACTACCTTAGATTTAGTCCGTAGGTCAGGGATGCGCAAAGGGAAAATGTCCGATTATATTTTAAATTACAGAAAAAAAAAATGAAGAGGAAAAAGAGCTGCTCGATGCTTTTTCGATATTCCGGCATATTATTATTGTACATCGCAAATCATATCGAGGAAACAACAAATGTCGAACGTGTTACGTGTGACTCTCTGCATTTAATTGATCTGGCTGAAATCAATCAAATTTTCAAATGAATTACTCGAAATATTAAAAATCCTTTGCTGTAGCGGGATATTTTTCAATTATGCATTAACAGATTGCAGATTATTGCAAACGCTGCGAACAATTCAATTAGCAACGAAATTTAAATTAAAATTTTCATTTAAACCAAATGCGATCCGCTGTGACATTTGGCTTGTGCATTCCTGTCAACAGGTGGTAACCAAAGCGCACAGTAAGGTATCGATAACGGTTCCGTTAATCGCTTACTCGATGATAATACGCGATATAATTGGGAAGGCTTGGAGCAACCGCTCAATAAGCCAGGTAAATTGCGCGATATCCCCAAATTATACTTCTTCGCAAGATTAACAATATAAAATTATCCGTGTACTGTCTTTACAAAAAAAAAAAACAGAGCAATGTTCGATATAAAGATAATTATAATACTCCAAGATCTTATCTCGATTATCTTTCGATTTCTCAAGAATCAACGTGTATATCGTTAAAATAATCTACAGAGATAATGCTAATTAAGCGGCTGTTAATCAATACAGCTGCAAAAGTGGATCGTAACGTTTGTCGTAAATAGAATATATTTCTATAACTATTTCGCAACACAATAATTCCTGTACTACTCCAATACTTGACGTAACGTATGATACGTCTCGTATGTTTCGATCGACGTGTTGCGCGGATCTCGTTTCGCGAGTAAATTACCTACCATTTCGGAAATAAATGTGTGCCCACGGACGAAGCGATTTGTTCGCTTAATCGCGAAATCCCGTTTGGTTATCACCGACACCCAAAGCGAATTAAGCGCGTGAAGTCGACCTGCGTTACATTTCTGTGTATTATAAAGAGATTTATTGCGCCTCTAGTAAAAACTGATCGTATAAATAAAAGTTACTTTAACCCAGCCATGCGCGCATGTTTATTCCGACAACAGTCCATATTTTCTCTTCATATCTAAAGCTACGCAACTTGCCTCTATTTGTCATTAAATTTTAGAGTGGGGGGGACACAATAAAGAAGTCTTTCTTGCAGTAAATTACAACAATGAGATAGCAACTTTTCAATACAGTCAACGTCAAAGGTCTGTTTGATTATTTCGCAAAAAAATGATAAAGGATGTAAAATTATTTTTGCAAATACTTGAAGCACCTTCAGCGGAGCGTAAAAAATATTTTTTTTGTACAGTCGTGGACACATCGGTTGCAACACTTTTTTATAGGTTTCTAATATATATTTAATATACATAATATATATATACTTTATAGATAACTAATATTTTGCAAATGCGAACCACGATGTACTATCTTTAGTCTAGAGACAGTATAACGCCAATCGTGGCCGCATTTGCAAAATATTAGTGCGTTTTGAAACCTATAAAAAAGAAAGTGTCGCAACCGATGTGTCCATGACTGTACATACTTGGGCTTGAAATATAAAAGAGTAAAATGTAAAAAAAAGTGTGTGTATAATGAAGTTACATGTTTATAATAACATGTTTATAATAACATTCATCATTCCAATAATTCTATAACACGCGGTCATCTGTATTCTGTCTGTGTAAAGCCATTAACGGTATCAAATTTTTATCAGCGCCGTTACTAAGAGACAAAGGTCACTAAGAGACCATTAGAGCCATTAACGATAATCGCTCGATCAAATTCAGACGTTGCACAGTCATCGAACAAGATCACTTGACGAAAAGGAAGAAAAAAAAAAAACAAACGCATCGCCGATGTACAATCGAGAGACAACTGGTACAACTGGAAAGCCAGATGCGCATTCATCAGTGTGGCTGAGTTTACGTAAGTATGACACACGAATGCACGCGCGCGCGCACACACACACATATATATAGCCTTCACGGTCGATCTTCCAATTGTGCGCAGCGCGAAGACGAGCTGCGAAGAGGAGAACGCGCGCGTGTGTCGACTTCCATCGAGCGGGACGACTCCGCGTGATTCCGGGACGATAATATAACAGCTAGCGTATGCGTGTTATCGGATTCGCGACCGCGAGAAGTCCCAACGGATCGACTGCCGTCACGTTCGCGGATCGTGAATCACGTGCTGTGCGCGATTTCCGCGATCTCGGCGTGCTTCACGCTGCAGCACGCGCATCTCGCGTCTCCCTCTGCTCCGCGCGCCTACGGGAGAGACACGACGAGGATACCGCACGACGACGTGCCGCTTCGGCAGCGCACCGGGTCGACACGCAGTGCCGTATCGTACACGGGTGGGCTTTAAGAATTGTGCGGACACAGTCGAACGAACGCGCTCGTGCACGGACGGAGGTAAATCTGCCATGACATGACAGATAATAGAGAAGTCCGGCGATAAACACGGCAGCACGCACGCTTGTCTACTCTTTTATCTGATATAGAGGAGCAAGTGTTTTTCTAATACACGTACCGGGTATCGGAGAAACGATCTGACGCTAATTGAGTTCAGTGAATCATTTGTTTGCGAAGCCGGATAAGCCAACCATGACCTTTCACGAAAATAAGAAAAGCTTAATACTTCTTCTTTGATTCGAACGTGGGAGTCTCCTCGGTTTTTAAATATTTGTTACGCAATATTAGAAAAAAATTTTCCGATAGGGCTTTCAAGAGATATGTAGTAATTTTGTAATTTAGATATTATACTCTCAATATGGATATCGAAATTCAAATAACTTGAGAAGATTATAATTTTTATTCCTTCGCTATAACGTTCTTTGTTCCATTGTTATTGTTGTATACAGTCAGGTCTGGATATCTAGAGTTTTATTTTACTAAAATGATAATTCACGAATTGAAGGGGGATACCTTCGACGTTGAAATAAACAGAGCTAGCAGCCGATTTTCAATGGCTGTACGTTCAGCAGAGAAAGCAGATCAGTGAGCGCTCAGTGACTCATCTTTAATATGATTGGTTTTCGCCTTTGGATCTTCGCTATGGATCTAAATGCAGAAACCAATCATAGGCGCCATTCTAAAACGTTGCTTTCAAGGAAAATTTTATTATAAAGAGCTATAGTTTGCGTTATTCAGTAAAATTTTTCTTGAAAGCCCGTTTTGGAATGTAGCCACAATAAAGAGAGGCACTTAAGCGCCCGCTGATCCGTTTTCTCTGCCGAACGCAGCCAATTGTACGACATATAACGTTGCACGTGTACTAAACTTGTATTTTACACAAAGGGAGACGGCGCCTAAATGACTGTCGGTTTGTGCCCGACTCATTACGCCGGCCGCTAACGAGCTCTCGTTTACCAGTCTAGTCTGCGATCGGAGAAGTTACTTGGCATCGCCACAACGGGAAACGTGTAATTGGGCCAAATGGATTGGGCGAGAGGACGAACGTCGACGGGTAATTGTCGCACCAGAAAGCTGGGCGTTTGCGTGAGCGTGGTCATGCTCGGGACCTTCATCGCCTGCATGATGCTGGCGTACACCGCGTTCGCATCTCCGGTTACCGGAGAACGTGACACGTTACAGCAGGTGGTTTTTGTGAGTAGCTCGTTTGTAACAGTTGGCCCTGTCATCCTACCCGCGTCCGGTCCCGCGCTTCCATACGCGGAGCGTTGATTTAATTTTAATCTTTCGTTTAACGAAAAATTTGTATCATACATATTAATTTCACAATTTTACGAGATATATTTTAATTAACGAGTATTATTTTAACATCATAAAAACAATGTGTAAAATAATAGAACAATGTGTTTCAACGTTTGTTAAAATATATAGAATATCCGGTAATTAAAAATATATGTGTGTCTACTTTAAACATATGTATATTACTCCGATTTTTTTAAACGACGAAAAACAGCATTTAAATGAATCTTGCTTCGGGAATTATAGTCAGAGATTATATACTCATTAGGCCCGGTTTCACAATTAACTCGTTTTAACCGAAGTTCAAACTCGCTTTATCTTTTTTCTAATCTAAGAATTAGAGAGACATAAACAGTAAGTTAAACCGAGATTAAAGTTAATTTTACATTTGTGGAACTGGACCTTAGATGAGGAAATACGCGGTGAACACTCGCGTAAGTGATGTTAAGTAAACTATAGTATTTCTCTCATACGGAAATCGTCATTGTTTTTTGACAGCTGTTTCGCCACGGCGACCGAACTCCGACAGAGACCTACCCTAAGGACCCTTACATAAATTACGATTGGCCCGGTGGCTGGGGCGCCTTGACCAAGGTTCGAATGAAATACACGCGGACACCGCATTGAAATCGATACTATATTCCCGTACATAATACACGATAATATATGTATATGTCTGATCTTGCCATAAATTAAATCGCATCTTCGCGCACGGCATATATGCGTCGCGGGTTGTAAAACGCGCTATCGAGCGCGAATAATAGGGCGCGCGTTATCAATCTCGAAATCCGCTTTCAGAAAGGAATGCATCAACTGTATAACGTGGGTCGGTGGATACGCTTGAAATACGGCGCCGTAATCGGTCGTAAATTCGTGAGCGCGGACATGCTGGTGCGTAGCAGTTACGCGGATCGGTGCGTCATGTCGGCGCAGGCATTACTCGCCGGATTGTTCGTGCCGGGACCCGAGGACATGTTCGTGCCCGGTTTGGCATGGATCCCCGTTCCTGTGCACTCGATACCACGGGAACTGGATAAGGTATGACAAAAGATCAGATTTATAATGTTAAGTGAAGAGAAAGTTTAAAATTTTACGTCAAGAAATCCTATGCACTATCCTCCTTGCCTAGAGAAAAATCTCTTTTTTTTTTACTGCTTATTTTGTTGTTCGAGAAAGAAAAAAAAATGCGTAATTCGTAAACTTAAGATTGCAACAAGTTTGTTGCGTCATTTGTTACAACCTACGATATAACCAGCGATTTTTATGCATAAATTGCTACATATTTTACGTTGCGAAAACTCTCTCGAGTTAAAATCGTCTCGTATAACAAGAAGATATACATCCAAGCAATTTTAAATGATAAATTACTTGCCGGGAACATGCAGGTCTATAAAGAAGCTTATTTTTCAATACGGTGATGTGTTATTGTAGCTGATAACGGTGAAGGCGCCATGCCCGAGGCTGGAGGAAGCTCTAAAACAGGCATACATAGAGGAGGCAAGAAGATCGGGCGAGAAGATGGCCGAGTATTATAAGGAATTGACGGAGCACACCGGACAGAATATGAGCACGATCACCGACGTCGAGTTTCTTTACAACACCCTCGAGATCGAGGAGGAAAATGGTTTAAAGCTTCCGCCGTGGACACGGAAATTTTATTACAACAAAGAGATGCGCGAAATAGCCGCTCGCAGTTTGACGATCTTCACCGACAGCACTACTCAGCAACGTCTTCGCGGAGGTAACGAGACGCGACAGTCTCGAAGCTGCCGAAGCTGACGAAAAATATCGCTGCGAATGCACCCTTTAAAATTGCAACGCGAGATATCTTCTATTGTATAAACTGTACCGATCATGTTTTTCAGGCCCGTTGCTGAAGGAGATTTTACGCAACATGGAAGAGAGTAAGAGCGGTCCCAAGCTGAAACGATCCTATTTTTATTCCGCTCACGACATAACTATCGTCAACGTGATGAGGACAATGGGATTTACGAATGAGCTTTTTAAGCCCGATTACGGGGCGACGCTCATATTGGAGCTACATCAGGCCAGTAATGGAGCCGGCCAAGAAGTGAAGGTATGTTTATATCGTAGCGTCATCATCGTAAAAGTTTACGATGATACTGCCGTGTGAATATTTTTATAATCAGAAATTGTTTCGCGTAAACGTTACGACGCTTCAAATTCTACCTGTAAGCACTTTATTACACTGTCGTTATTATTACAAATTATAATGGGCATTATAATGCGTAATTACCGGAAGTGAGACGTGATTAATTTAATTAATGGTAGCCAATTAGCAATTATGCATAATTGCTGAGGGTCATTCGGAATTTCTAAAATAGTCCATATATTTGCATATTAATATTATATACGCGTGTATAATTATCTAAACGTCTTTCTTATATCTCGCAATTATTGTTCTAATGATATTTAATATTATAATTATAATAATATAATAATTACTGTAATTATATAACTCTTGTCTCTTTGTTATCAAAGGCGCTGTATTACAACAATACGAAAACGGAGAACGCGCATCGTTTGGAAATTCCTAACTGCGCCAGTCCTTGCCTATTGCAAAACCTGAAGCAAGTGTGGCACGAAGTGATTCCGAACGACTGGGACGCGGAATGCAAAATGTAAACCCGCTGAGTTTTATGTAATAATTCATAACAATTGTACTTAATTGAAATTGATTCGCTCGCGTTTTCACGTGAAATCATTGCTACGTGCGCAGAGCGAAGAGATATAAAATGTTAATCATTTAATGTGTGATATATAAAAATTAAATATATGTAATCTCGAGATCGGTACCTACTTAAATCAGTTTTGAGTATGGGAACTGTCATTTAATATTTGTAACTATTATTCTTGTAAATTGTATTATTGTTGTCAATGTTAGCAATTAAGGAACCATATAGACTTATCCATTCATATATAGTATCATCACAAAATGATAGCGTTATATGATAGACATTAAAATAAAATAGAAATAAAACTTGAAGCGTTTTATATTTTTGCGACAGTAAAAATTTTATTATGCTTACGTTGATCCGCTGCTATTAAACAACGTCGTTGCTCGAATACGTATTTCGTTTTCCACCTACGTACATCAAATCCATTGATGAGCGAATCCATCTGCCATGCGAATTCTGTAAAAATAAAATATATATAGGTATTAAATGCAAACAAGTGTAATTAAAAAATTACTCGTTTAATAAATGTTTATATTTGCCGGCATGAGTGCACAGTACGTGGAGTTTGGCACAGAAGGCGCCTCTGATACCTTGTTGCAAATAATCACCAAAATGGTTATCAGTAACAGAAATGGGATCGTCTGCAGTGTCTTATGCAATACTGATAAATGATAAGAATGTCATTTCAGCGATATCTCTACTGACTTGAGTATAAGATAGAAAATTTTGTACGAGAAACAGTTTAAAAGATCTCTTCGTCTCTCTAAGAAAATATTTTCCCACGAAAATTAATTTTCATTATATCGTTTTGTATTGCTTTCCAATATGAAATTATATTCTCTTAAAGAATATAAGATTACAAGAAGCTCTCAAAGAAATTCTTTAATCGTTTCTTTTTATTATATTATTATTATTTGATTACATTATTTAATTAAATTTTTTTATCTTGTTTCTTCTTCACTCGTAATTACTGCTTGCAGACGATTTTTAAACGAGTTAACTCTTTGTTTTTAAACAGAAGACAGAGAATATTATAAAAGAATCCCAAAGAAAAATAAGAATAGTTGTGTTAAAAATTTTTGTTCATTTTTCACTCGTAATTGCTGCTGGCAGGTAATTTTTAAACGGGAAATAAGAATACAGTTACTCTTATTTCTTTTGAACTCTTTTATGATATATAATCTCTGTTAAAAAATTAAGAGTTGACTCGTTTAAAAATTACCTGCAAGCAACAACTGCGAGTGCAAAATAAACAAGATAAAAAAAATTTAATTGAATAATGTAATCAAATAATCATATAATAACAAAAGAAGTGATTAACAAGAATTTTTTTATTAAATAAAAATTTATATGAACAAACATATGACGAAAATATGAAATTATTGTAAAAGAGTTATTCTTATAAAACATAAAAATAGATTATAAAAAGCTACCGAGATATTTGAACACAGCGAATTGATAATGCTGAATTTTTCCAGTCATTTCAAAATTCAACGTTGCGAAGACATCCGCATTCAGTTCCTTAGGGAGAACTACAAATGTCTGCACGGTCGAGCGCATAATATGTGCACATTACAACTCGGTATCCCTGCAAACCGGTTGTAATTCAAGCGAAGCTTGTTAAGACGAATAAATGGACACGAAATCGTTTAAACCGGGATGTGCCCGTTTTGCTTATGCAACACCGGCTGACACTGGACCCGTTTTGCATATCATTGCGTAATATCATGTATGATTATTGGCGCGAGCTATTGTCTGTTGCGCCGAATAGTGCGTGCGCAATTAACAATTAAACGGTTAAACTGCAGCTCGCGCTCGGTGCAATAGGAGATACACCTCCGATCTCAATGCGTGCTCTACTTTCGGATAAATTGAACGAAACGCTGTGTCATTCATTGATTTCAATCAACTCCTTCAGTCCGCGGCTTGTCGCGAGAAAAAGTGGAAAATTTATATTTTGCTAATAAGTGTTGCGAGCCGAGAGAATAATTCAAGTGACGGCGAAATAATTAAATATTTATCGAAGGCGAATATTCAGTATGACAGTATTTCGGCCCGATAGGCGAAGTTCCTTTCAGGTAAGATCGCTGTGAGGCGAATCGATATCGCAATTACAATCCTTCTTCTGAGTATACGCGATGATATCGCTTTTATTAATTGTATCTCGCTTCCGCAATAATTCATTTTTTATGTCAATCGATGTCAAGGGAAATGCGATGGATTGAATGCTAAGTATTTAACAGGAAAGATAAGACAGAAGTGCTTATCGTTTTTCATGACTCACCGTTTAACGATTTAAGTTTTATTCGCGCGAATCCGCCGCGATTGCCCGCGATTCGAATCAAACGTTTCCGCGATCGAGCTCGCATGATGGGAGAAGGTCATAGCTATCGATTGTCTCTCCTGTGGCATGGCCACACATTGTTAACATTACGCCTTCGTTATGTCACTGTCATTCATTTACCATTACAGCGTTGCATAACTTACTGTTTTATAGGAGGAAATCCTATAGTGATCTGCAGGAACACCCTACATATACATATATATCTTCCCGATTCCGCAGATCTATTTTCTCATTAGCAAATGTAAAGAAAGGCGAATGGCTGTCGCGAGTGGGTGGCAATATCCATCAGCTAAATGTTTCCCCGTTTTAATGACTTACATCGGCGCAATTACTTACGTTCTTAAACTTAAAGGGAAGAAAAATAATAAAGGAGTCAATTCCTGAAATAAATAGATAAAGTAAACGGCTGTAGTAATAAAGTGAAGTAAATAATAAATAAGTAAATCATAATAAGTAAGAATAAATTGAAGTAATGAGAGTCGATTTTAAAATTGCTAAATACATCTCCTTCAAGTTTCTTTGCTTACGAAGCTGTTAGCTTGCTCCATTACCGTCTTCTTAATTTTTAACAATTTCCCCACATAGTAACATAGACGCGCTTTAACGTGCTTACGAGGTATACTATAATAGAAAAAAAAATATGTGAGTTTTGTTGTTTGCTAATGGAGTAGAGTTCCGTTCGTTAATGCAGATGAAGATGAAGAGGAAATAAAGGAAGAGAGGAAGCATCGTTTATTTAGCGCTTTCGAATATATAACAAATTTTACTTTACGATATCATATTAATATAAATTATTATTCATTAATTTATATATAATATATATAACATATATAATATATATAATATTTATACATATATATAATTTGTATATAATTTGTATATATAAATTAATATATATATTTATTATACTTATATACATGACAATTTATATAATATTATATAAATTATATATGATAATAACGCAAGCTCTCATTCGATTATTCTTCGCCTTCAAAAAGCGGATTAATTTCATAACCCTCTACCGATATTCTTAATTCTAACCTTTGATCGAAAACGATATTTGTTATACCTTGACGCGTTCTCCGCGTTCCTCGGTATCCCTCGCATTGATCGACGACGAAAACGACGAGGAACTTTCGCGAATCGATCGCACGCGCTACGCGTGAGCTATTCTCGTTGATTCGAAATCGATGGCCCGTCGAACGACAGACATCGCGCGCGACTCGTTCGCGTTTGCAAGACGGCGAAAATTTAAAAGATAATTCGCGTACAGCAATCAAAGTCGGCAACTTACGTACGCGGGAAACGGGAACAGAGAGTGTCCAACTTCGGCGCGGCGGAACGCGTGCGAGAAACGCAAGATGCAGGGCGAATGCCCGGAATATTGCGCGAATGCTCTGATGGGTTTCGTTTCGCAACGAAAATCGCGAAATGCGACAAGAATCGTGGAAATCTGAAAGCGGAAAGTGGCTAATAGCTCTTGCCGGAATTCTCATAACCGCGCAGGTGATCGTCGCGTGATCGCGTTCGACAGTATATATATGTAGGAATAAAATAAGAAAGAAAATAGATATCGAAAATTCCGTTTCCTCGCCGCGTCTGAACTCCGGTTTCTGTCTCCGGTTACCTTATAATTAATTGCGTCTGTTTTCCCGGGATCCGCGATGAGGCATCTCCCCCGACAAAGCACGCCGTGTTCGACCGCGAATTATCGCGTCGATCCCGATCATCGATCTGAACTATGCGCACGCAACCCTCGCGCCGCGTTCGGGAACCGATCAAAATTGCGATGAAGCGCGATTATCTCGAACACCCTGTTCCCTCAAGATTGCAGTTAAAAGCTTATTAATCGTAAAAATCTCCTCTATCAAGCTGATTTCCGCATTCCCATTCTCTTCATTTTTCCTTGTCTAATTTTAAACTCAATCGTATTAATTAATTATTAATTTATTTATTTGTATTACTCAATTTATTTGTAATAAGTAATTTATAAGTGTATGTTTATAACTAACATTCATTGGCTTATTCTGTTCGGTAAATTCAGCCGTATTAATTTTAATTTCTTTATTCATTTATTCATACATATAATTACTTGAGTTATTCATATAATTTGTAATTAAGTGCATGTTCACATAATTAGCATTAATTGGTTTCCGTTCAATATAATCAACTCAGCCATGGTGATTGATTTATTCATTCATTTACTCTTACTGCTTAATTTATTCCTAAATTTAAACAAATATGCTCATAATTAATATTTACAAGAACGGCTAATTATAATCCGTAATAATGCGAATAATCCGGTATGTCCTATTAGTCAGCACGCTTCCCCCCCCCCCCTCCTCTCACCCCCCCTCTCTCTTCGCGCCTGTCAGTTACTCAGTTGTCGGCACTGGGCCCAATGCCGTACGGTAGGTTATGTGAGTTGTGTCGACAACCTGTCAGTCCTGTCCGACACACAGCACTGACTGGAGTCGTGTTGTCGTGCTCTGTGCGGTGTGCCGTCAGTCGCGTCTATCTCCTCTCCAGGCAAGAGCCTTATAATCAATCCCGGTTTATCGGCTAAATTTATCGGACGCGGCTCCGCCTCGCGATAGCTCTCCCGATCCGCTCGCTCTCCCGTGCCGCTCGCGCAGGCCGCGGCGCGACGCGCCTTCCACCGTTGCGTGTCACCGTGCTGGCGCGAGCGTGGCAGTAATTCCGAGGCATTCCGAGCGGCAACCACCACCACCACCACGCCACCACCACTGACGCCGCCGCAGCCGCAACCACCACCACCACCACGACGTCCGCTCCGGAAATCCGCGTTGCTCACGATCTTCCGCGATCGGCTCGGGTCGCGCATACGTCACATCGGCGGCGGACCACCTCGTCGTCGTCTTGGCCGAGCAGCGCTGCGCCTTCCGCCGCCACGCTCTCCCGTTAGTTAGTCCGCGCTCACCCTCGCCGCGCCGTCCGTCGCGCTCTGTCAGGCGCGCCCGCTCATCCTTGACCGGCGGATCCGAGCAAAGGTTGGTGCGCTCGACGTTGCTCTCTGGATTCTCCTTCCTTCCTTCCTCCCTCCCGCCCTGGCCTACCCCCCTCCCCTGGGCCCCGTCCACGTGTTCCTCTTCGCACTTTTTGCGTTTTCGCAACCTCGCTTCAAGTACCTCGTCTCTGAAGTACAGTCCGTCGCGGTCTCAGCGGTTCTCGTCAGTCGCGACTCGCTGTTCCCCTCGGTGAGGAAGGAGGTGGTGCCTGGAACGGGATCTCGGGGGAAGGAAGGTGGTGTGGCCTAGAGAGGTTGCTTTCTAGAACGAGAGAGGCATGGCCGAGTTTTCCAGTGGGCAGATACGATAACACCCGTTCCACGCGACATGTCTTTCGGTCCGCTTTTTTTGAAAGCCCACGAAGGCGTGGAATCGGGAGGCGGAAGTCCAATATATAATTGATATGTGATAACCTCAACCGTTTTTTTTTTCTTTGTAGGCCGCGTTCCTCCAGTCCCGGACGACTGGTTCTAGAATAATAGTCTCACTGTAGCTCAAATGAAGGAAATGTAATTAACAGGAACGCGACGAGTTACTTGACTACGCTAACGCGACCGTGTCCTCGGAATTCAGGCGATCGTGTGCACGTGGCGTGTGTTTATGTGTGTGTGTGTATACTCGATGACAAGTTCAGCAGCGGGAATGCAGGACTCTACGATTTGTTGCAGGTCGCCAACATGTTCAGCTGGCTGAATCGCGAGGAGAACAGCAAGCAGGATCTCTTCGAAAATGTCACCGAGGGCCTCAAGAGGATATACAAGGCCAAACTGCTGCCGCTGGAGCAGTACTATCAGTTCCACGACTTCCACTCGCCGCAGCTGGACGATCCGGACTTCGACGCGAAACCCATGATCCTCCTGGTCGGCCAGTACTCCACTGGCAAGACCACGTTTATCAAATACCTGTTGGAGAGGGAGTTCCCCGGCATCAGGATCGGGCCGGAGCCCACCACGGATCGATTTATCGCGGTCATGTACGAAGAGAAGGAGGGAGTCATTCCTGGAAACGCCTTGGTTGTGGACCCGAACAAACAGTTCAGGCCACTCTCGAAATTCGGCAATGCGTTCCTGAACAGATTTCAATGCTCGACCGTGGCTTCGCCCGTTTTGAAGGGCATATCTATAGTGGACACACCCGGTATATTGTCCGGCGAGAAACAACGGGTATGTGTTGCTTTTTTTTTTGTGCAAGAAGCTCCGCTTCTATACAGGTTATTTAAAATGTCTATTTGTAACACGATGGATAAATGTACTCTAAATACACCGAATGTGTTTTTCCTTCAGGTCGACAGAGGCTATGACTTCACTGGTGTTTTAGAATGGTTCGCTGAGCGCGTAGATAGGATTATCTTGTTGTTTGACGCACACAAGCTTGATATATCGGATGAATTCCGTAGATCTATCGAGGCCTTACGTGGGCACGACGATAAAATCAGAATTGTCCTCAATAAGGCTGATATGATAGACCATCAGCAGCTCATGAGAGTATACGGTGCTTTAATGTGGTCGTTGGGAAAGGTATTACAAACTCCCGAAGTGGCTAGGGTTTATATCGGCTCGTTTTGGGATCAGCCATTAAGATATGATGTCAATAGAAGGTAAGTTCTCTCGTATCTTCTGTTTTACTCAATTCTATTTCTATTTGTTTCCATATTTAAGTGTCGTTTGAATCTTCTTTCAGATTATTTGAAGATGAAGAGCAAGATTTATTCAAAGACATGCAGTCGCTTCCAAAAAATGCCGCATTAAGAAAACTCAATGACTTAATTAAACGAGCACGTTTAGCAAAGGTGTACAAAGAATCTACATTAATTTTTTTACAATTGAAATGATTTCTTGGAAAAGATCTTAGACTAGATAAACGGTAAAGGAAGATTCTTATATTCTGCATCAATTTACAGGTGCACGCTTACATAATAAGCGCTTTACGGAAAGACATGCCCAGTATGTTTGGCAAGGATACCAAGAAGAAGGAATTGATAAAAAATTTGGGCCAGACTTACGATCAAATTCAGAGGGAGCAACAGATTTCACCGGGTGACTTTCCGGATCTAAAGAAAATGCAAGAGAGCTTAGCACATCACGAGTTTAGTAAATTTAATCCCCTGAAGCCTAAGTTATTGGAAGTGGTGGATAAGATGCTCGCTGAAGACATCGCGAAGCTTATGGCCATGATACCACATGAAGAAGTCACCACTGTTTCGGAACCACTTATTAAAGGTATTTGTCAATGTTTGTTTACACTTAAATCTTTGTAATTGTGAATCGAAATACAAAAAGTTGTTCAAATTTTTCATAAAATTTTTGCTAAAAGGTAGATGAATAAATTGATTAAAAAATGAATACAAGACAATGTGCGATATTTATTATTTTCATACGTGGTATTTGCATACTGTAAATTTATAGGTACAGATTGTATATACTTTACTCTATTTTAGGAGGAGCGTTTGAAGGTGTAGAAGATCAAGTTAGTCCATTTGGATATAAAAGAGGAGAAGGAATCGATGCGGGTGCAGGTGAACCAGAATGGATTGTTAACAAGGAAAGATATAAATATGACAGCATCTTCGAATCGCTTGGACCACAAGATGGGAAAATTACGGGAGCAGGTAAGGCTGATTTTTTACGAGTGATATTTGCATTTATTTGCTTCTAATGATATTTAAGATATCCTTTAGAGATATTAAGATATCCTCTTCGTTGGACATTCTAGAGATAGTCTTTCCAGGATGTTACGCGGATGCTGTGTTCGCGGATCCAGTAGATATTTTCTTTCATTTATGTACCAAATTTCCATGTTTATAACAAATGTTTTTTTATAACCTTTTACACAATTTTGATTAACATAATCTTATTTCTTGAAGTTTGACCTGCAAAATGAAAAAACAATTATTCGATTACGTTGACTTTAAGCAAAGATATATTAATTTAAAGTTTTGTCGAATATACTGGACCTGCGAATACCAGTTAAAAAAATTTTTGAAACAAACACAATTAGTATCAATACTAACTAGCTCGGCTTCTACAAATAAAATTATTAGATAGAATTGTGATATATATGTCTATGTAATAGATATTACATATAAATATATAATATCTATCACATACAAATATATACATATTTGTACATGATAGATATTGTAATTTAAAATATAGAATATTCTAATTAATGTATAATTTTCTGTTACCAGCGGCCAAATCAGAAATGGTCAAGTCCAAATTGCCGAACAGCGTGCTTGGAAAGATCTGGAAGCTTTCGGACATTAATAAAGACGGATTCTTAGATTCCGACGAGTTTGCCTTAGCCATGCATCTAATTAACGTGAAGCTCGAAGGATACGATCTACCGGCTGAGCTACCGGAACATTTAATACCGCCATCGAAACGCGATATATAATATATAAATTTTTTATTGTAATTTATCACGTTTCGCAAAATAACACACATTTAGAGCCGCGAGACGGTGGGTTTAAAGCACGACTTATTAATCGTGCATTTAATGTCAGCGGTTCACAGATTCGAGAATTATAAAATTATACTTTTGCAACCAGCTCTGTATCATATTATGTGTATACTATTATTACATTGGTAATCAAGGCCAGGGGACATATATATTTGCAATCTTTAAAGAGTTATTGTGTAATATTGATCAGCGATTGACATCCATAAAAGAGATATGTGGGTATCTTTCAAACAATATTTTTCCGAAATGTATAGAGATTACACATATACATAACTATATACACATAGTATGCGATACTTATACTGATATAATAGTATATAAAGAATTTAGAGCATTAATTGTTTCCTTTTAAGGCTCTTGACTAGTTATAACGGCCATTGGAATCGTAAGCGAGAAATGGCATGTTAAAGTTTCTTGCATGCCATTTATAAATAAAGAAAATATGGATGAAACAAAAAATGGAATCGCTTTAAAACATTTGTAAAAATGATGGAACTGTTATTTTTTTTCTCCTAACAGTCAGTAAATAGCCGTAAAATACATGTAAAATGAAGTATATTTAGACAGAAAAACATACGGTTTGGTGAAAGTTGTTTTAAAAAAATGAAAAATATGCTTTTACATATAAAATTAAAATATAATATTATTTTCTGTCCATTTTTACTTGATACGAGACAGCTAGTTTACATTTTCATAATTAAATACATAATAATGAAATGGCATGCAAGAAAAAATTTTGTTGTCAACAGTAAGGTCAACAGTTTTTCACAGTAAGGTCCGTTCTACAATATGTCGTAAGCAGTAAGAATTAACCAATTACATTTGAATATTCTCTTCGCATTTGATTGCGATTAATCAATTCTTACGACACCGACATGTGACGTATTATAGAACGGACCTTAGTATGATTAGATGAACAAGATTCTAATTCCTACCGCGATATAGTGTCGCCGCCGTTAACGTGGAATTTTTGGCTGAATAGTTAGGAGCCTTAAGATATATCAAGTTGTTATATCGATATAAAAATCTTGAAATTATATTTATATTTTTGCTTTATAACTTCGAAATTCTTTTTGTATGCATGCGTGTGTCCTGAATTACACAAAATGTCGCTGATTAATGAATGTGAGACTGCATTGAGGTATTGTAAGAGCAGCAAATAGATTTTTTTTTAAGAAAGAGATATACACAATATTTTCGAGAGATGCGCTCTAATTTTAAAAATATGTTCTCTCCGGAGATGCAATAAGCTTATATGAAGTTAAAATTTTTGAAAATACTTTGTGACCAAAAATCGAACGAAATAACACAAATTATTGAAACCGATACATTTATTTTCTACTTAGAGTTAATCGACTATGTTTTTAAAGTTGTAAAAATTAAGCTTTTTTAGAATATTCTATACAAAAAGAAAAAATAAATCGAAGATAGATTATGTGAAAATATAAAAAAAGATAAAAGACTGGATTAAAAATATAGATTTTGCATATTTCAAAACGAGAACAACCTAAACTGTAACAATTTATTTTTATTTAAATAGTTGAACGAATTTATGTATTAATAGTAGTCTTTAAGCTCTATAGAAATAGAACTTAATCAACTTGACCAAAATATTCTTAAAAACTTTCGATGTTTTAACAAAAATACAATTTCTTTCACTATTATTTACCTATAGATAGCAATATGCAATATATGTTAAAAAATTTTAATTATTTAAATTAATTTAATGCAGTCTATGTTTATTGCAAATCCATTGCGGAATTATGATATTCCGTAACTGTTAGGTTTCGTCTCTTCTGCGACATCGACCAAAAATATAATGTTACAAATAAAAATTGCACATAAATTGCAATATTAAGAAGCTAAAATAATTTATATTGGCAATTTTTAATACTTTTGATTAATACTTTTGATATTGAAAAGCTTTTTTGTTCCATGAATCCTGTTTCAACGAACCTGATGTTACAGAAGTTATGTATTTATTGTTCTTTAATTATATACGCTGTAAAAACGGCTATAATATTACTTTGTTGAATTCTCAATTGCATTTTTCTATTAGCACTGCCTTCGCATGCCGCGATTTTATGTGATATCAGAAAGTATATTCGTAAAACTTATGAAAAGAAGCACCGGCACATTTAGATACTTTTAACATTCTATATTCTCCTCATTTCTATGTTTTTAAGTTTTGAAACTCTACAAATAGTTTTAAATATCTATATGTGTAAAATGTAAAATATTTTATATATAAAATATTTGGATATATATTGCATTTAAATAACAACAACAAACACGCACGGAATCGTAATGGTCCAGCGTTTTTTATAGAATATATTTATCTCTATATCAACTCTTATATTTGTGTAATAGTTATATTTACGAACACTATTTTTAGAAAGAACTCATTCCATCGAGTTGTAATGCGTTTATAAAAAGAGAACACCGCAGAAACTTATTTTTTAACATCTTAAAAATACCAATAATATTAAAAAATAAGAGCAATTTAGTTTATCTCATGTTAATAAATGAAATTTATGATATTCGTGTTTCTTACTGTACAAACAAAACCTCCGATAAGTATTCGAAAAAAAGAGTTTCGTGATTAAATCTTTAATATGATAATTGAGATTTCAGGTCTTATTATTTTGTTCTCAGACATTTTATTAATTGTTATGTACATAAAAAAATGTATAAAAGTATCACAACAGGACTAAAAGTATTTATATCTAGTCTAAGTTTTCTTCTTTGTTCCTTTTGGAAGCGTCGTGGAACATATCATGGTAAACGACAGACACCACTTGCGATCGAGCAATATATCATTTACAGATAAGTACATTACTTTCGTTTTGTACGACTCCTGTTTCATATATCGTTGCAGCGATTGAACAAAATTACGATATCAGATGATGTACCATAAATTAGCAGAGATCATATAAATTTTCTTTCTTATATCTACATTGAAATAAATTAATTTTTGATAGTAAAAATTTGTAATCGCAACGGCAATCCACTGAGAATATATCATCCCATGAAAACCTCTCTAAATTAGGTCGTTCGGAACCGATATTAAAACTGTAGATTCTGTATATTTGTGTAAATTGTATAAAATAGCACACACCATAGAAATACGATGAGGGGTCACCACGCTTCTGACAAAAGGCCTCGGAAGATAGATTTGTAAAATAATGTATTATATATATTCTACATTGATGATAAAGGAATGCATATAATTTAAATTTACATTTCTAACACACCTAATATAAACATAGAATGATAGATCAAAGGAATGCATATAATTCGATCTTATATAGTTAATTATTAATTATAATTAATCACCTGTCATTCCATATGTTTATTATTAAGCGTGTTAAAAATATATAAGATCGAATTATATGCATTCTTTTATCAATGAAGGATATACATATATAATGCAGTATTTTACAAATCTATCTTCCGAATCCTTTGTCTCTTGTCAAAAGCGTGATGACCCCTTAATGTATTTCTGTGATGTGCGCTATTTATAATTTTTTTTCATACATGACTGCAATAATAACGTTGTATATTGCAAAGAAAGCGATCACACATCACTGCAATGATAAAATAAAAGCCTTAAATTCAATTTAGGCACTTTCTCTATTATAGTTCGTCGTGGAATGATTTCGTGCGAGTATTAATAATCTCTAAAATTTCATCTCTGATTGCCTTGGCTGTCTTCGCAACAATTTCGACACCTTCGTGCTTATTTTTCTTTTGCTTTGAATTATACAATATTAGCGTCGGAAAGTATTCTGTATACATAGATTGTTGTTTACTTTGTTTTATATGTTGTTTGCATTCGTGCATATAGGGGGAACAGTCAATTTTTCCAAATTTCACTTTCTGCAACAACTGAAATTAAAGCAGATTTTATAATCTAGCTGGCTGCTATCATAATATAGATTGTGAAAGCTAAAAATTGATCTACAACGAAATAGCATTTACCTGAGCAGCAATTTCAAGCTCAAGTTCCATTTTTTGACAATGTTGACAATATGGCGAATAGAAAAAGACGATCCACATATGCTTGTTATCCAATAGCTTCTGACAGTCAGAAAAATTTAAATCATGGATCTTCTTTGGAAAGAATGACGTTATCCATGTTAATACAGATACTATATCTATATTAATATGGCCAATACCATTTCGTGGTCCGTAGAAGCTGTAATATAAACAATGAATGCATATTGAATTATGTTTTTTTTTTTTCACGAATGCATGGTGAATATTGCAAAAAATATAATGACTTACGCGACTGTATTTAGACCTTCGCTTCCTAATGGATACATTCTAATATCAGGATAAGAACGCACTCCTTGGGATTTGCATAAGGAAGTCTCAACCTCGCAATTTACACTAGCAACATTTACAAATGGCAAGGCGCTCAGCGATTTTGCAACGGCTATCCATATAGGTGCCAATTTTTTACACGCTCCACACCATGGAACAAAATAATCAACGATCCATATGTCTTTATTCTTCTTATTCCTCAACTTGTGAAAATTTTTCGTTGTTAATTCTATAACTGTATCGAAACAATCAGATATATGTATAATGAAAACAAGCGAGAGCGCAATAAATGTAATTATTTTGCGTTATCTTTTACCTGAAGGGTTTCTTTTCTCGTTAATGAATTGGACGACATTCTCAGCTGTTTTTGGTAATGTAAACTGGTATGTATTGCTGCCATTTATGAGCATTACAGTGGGATAATACTGTATGTTGTATTGTCGGCATAGTGTACTGTGAACGGTACAATCAATGGTACCAAAACGAATTATTGACGCATCAAATTCTAGCGATGCCCTCCGGAGTTCTGACAGAAATTCCATACAAGGTGGACACCACGGTGTAAACCAATCTAGAAACCACACTTCATCTCCTGTAACATTGTTTGCTACAGTTAGTATTGTCGCTTTAAAAAAGCGCTTTAAAAAAAAGTGTGAGTCGCGTTTACGATGTAATACCGTTGTTCCTTTGTAATATCGATAACACTTCTTCCGCAGAGAGGCTCCAAACGTTTGTAGTTTTCACACTAATTTGCACAAATTTAATGATATCACTGTTCGTGTCCGCTCTGTGATTCAATTCAAATGCTCCACCAGGCTTAAGCATACCCCACATTGGATAACGATTTATTCCCAATTTAGAACAAAGTCGCCCGTTTCTGCCACAATTTATTTTACCTACAATATAGTACTTCATACAGTGTAAAAATTTTATATTGTGTAAATATTTTGTATTCAGCATGATATTCATCAATGGGAATTATCAAAATACCTACCTAGGTTAATATGACTGATCGAAAACTTCTTCATTTCTAAGTTCAAATCTCGCAAATTCGATGTAAGAGCATCGCCAATGTAAAAGCATATAAGCCAGGCGACGTTAGAAGCCAGGGACTTCATTTCCCTAATATGCTGCAAATTATATAATGAATACTTTCGATGAAAATAGAGCAAAATAGAAATTTTATACAGAGAATATACATAACAAATAGCAAATATATTATACAAAAAAAATAATAACATATATAATACATATAATTAATATAAAAGTATGTAACGAATTAACACTTACTTCAAAATCACTGTCAGATAGCTCTTGTGGACCGGGCAAGAGATCTATGAGCTTTTCTATCAATGTATTTATATCATAAATATTATCAAGGAATATAGGCTCCCAAGAAGATGCATTATGCATCGGTAGATATACAACGTGTGTGTTATAAGATATCTTGTCATTTTGGCATGTAAACACTTTTACATTAATTACCTTATCCTGAAAGAATATTACACTGTATATTACAATGTTAATTATCTAATAATAGTCACTGTGTCTTGGTAAAATCGTGTATGTCAATAAAAATAATACGACACTTACAAATGTAGCCGCTACTTTAATTCTCTCATCGGGAGTAAAACAATTCTGTTGATCGTCACATATAAAAATTAACATAGGCCTCTGAATGATATTCTTGCCGCGTATAAATACCTTCCACTGAGATTCACTTATTTCCGGTACGTGAATATTTAGTCGATCAATTGCAAAACGCGTAATGGCCTCTTGTCTCAATTCACCTTTGTACTGCACTCCATACTGTGAATTCTTTGAAACAAAACGTGAATTAATATTTCCTGTTGATTTAGCTAACAAATTTGGTTTATAGAGATATCTAAAACTATAGTAATTATATATAATTTCCTTAAAAATTATATAATACAAGACTGAAGAGAAAGCAATAAGGCATTCTCTCTGCACAATAAATTAATACCTTTTGGAAATAGAGCAATGTAGGATAAGCACGGATTCCTACTTCGTAACACAGTCTCTTGTCAAGCACACAGTTAACTGCTGCAATTTTCACGATGCCATTAAGTAACTTAGCAACTTCCATCCAAGTCGGTGCTAACTGATGACAGGCGCCGCATCTCATCGAATAGAAGTTCACAAACCAGTTTAAGTCAGAGTTAATAACACTTCCGTCTATCCAGAGATACACATACGTATAACATTATATTAGTACTCTGTTTAGTTATAATTTTTAATATTTAGCATGTCAATATAAATATAAATATATATATATATATATATATATATATATATATATATATATCAATTTACATTTAATATCAAACATGAAAAAAATTATATATACTCACAATAATCATTTTCTTTCAAATTGATGACATATTTGTCATCGTCATATAAGCCAAAATTGTTGTGATAATAACCCCAAGAATGATAGGTTTGTTTCCCATGATAGTTATTAAGACCATCTTCTCCAGAAAGATCGTATTTTCTTCTCAAGTCAGTATCCTTCAGTATCTCATAGGCTTTTGTTAATTTGACAAATTTATCATGAGCATTTGGATCGTTCTGAAAAAAGTATCAAAAAATATTAATATATATTTAATGGAAAATATATAGTATATATCGCAAAGTATAATATATAATAGAAAAGCGCAGACAATATAACATTTCACACTAATATATTCACATACGATATTTTTGTCAGGATGACGGATGATTGCTAGCTTCTTGAAAGCCCTGCGGATTTCATCCTGATCAGCGGATCTGCTTACATTAAGGATCTCATAATAATCTTCTCCTCGCGTAAAAGAAATAATAACAGAGAGAACAACGATAATTTTATACCTGCAACAATAAGTACAAATGTGTCATTAAACGTTACATACAAATATTATATTAAATTCATATTATGATACAAAAGTTTTATATTAATTTAATATTTATTCTAATGCAATTAGAAAAATTATCTTCAAATTAATTATTTTCTTTTTCATGCTTTTTGCATAAACAGTGGCAAGAAAACAGGAACGAGTCTTTTGCGAAATTCTGCAAATTTTACAAGAATTTACCGCAGCGTCAGTATATATAGTTAATAAAAAATCTTTTTCTCGATAGATTTTCAATTTGAATATTGTATACATACATGTCTATAAAATCTTATCCAGTTCACGGTAATGTGTTGCACGGTAATAATTTGATGTTCCACTCTTTTAGGCCGAAGTGAGCCTTTCATCGTAACACCACGTATCTCTCCATTTACTCCCACGCTCTTATGATATCATTTGACCCTGTTTGGAGAACCACGCACACCGATCCTGCTCAAGCTGAATTTCGAAATTGTTACGAGAAAGTATACACATGTGTGGCGACAATTATTCGCATAAGTGTACTGCAGCTTCCAGTTATAAGTGTTATAACTCGACCAACGTATTCTCTTCTATCGTATTCGTTTCCACCGATGAGATACTATTAAAGATCGCCAATCTCATGGGAGTTGGCGTCGCTGTTTGGCAATTGCTAAAATTTAAGCAATTTTAGCCAAAAATATAAAATTAATTTTGATTTATTATTAGACCAATGTTTTTAGTCATATCCATATATTTATAGCTTGCTGACAGTTAATTTTATTTAAAACTACATTTTTATATAGTTACCATCAGTTACCATCTGTGTTTGATTATCCATAAAGGATCATGGTAACAGTAAAAAAAATTATAATTTTGCGGCAATATATGTGATATATTATTATAAGTATTCATATTTATTTCTAAAGCATTTATGTAATAAAAAAAAGATGATTTTTTTGAAAAAAAAAATGTATAATTTACTGCTTTTCTATAAAGGCGAACGATTGGCTACAGCGAGTGGCGTGTCCAGCTGCCTCCTATTCGTTTGCAGCTGGAAACGCTGCATTCACGCTACGTCACGCATGCTTAAGGCGCGTTTCCAATCAAGCATACATATATGTTCCGAAATACGAAGCATCGCACTTTCCTTTCTCTCTTCTAAACGATTAGCTTTCGATTATTATAATCTGATCAATAATACCTGCGGGAAGTTTCAAATTTGCAATATTGAGGAGGGCAACATCAGGGGGTCCGAAACAGTTGCAATAATCATAATTACAACCGTTTTAATCAGCGATTCTTCGTGAGTTACACGTCTGTTTTGAGTCAATATCTGATTTTTGCGGCGTATTCGCCGTCGGACGAGCCGTTCGTGCCTTATAATTTCTAAATCTTTAATTTCAGACTTTTACACTCTTTTAAGCGACCCGCGCGCCGCAGACGCGATCCGCACGTCCGGCGTCGGTTAACGTCGCTACGTTCGAAATCTCGGGCCCGCCGCCGCGCCGCCGGTCAACGGCGGCGCGCGCATCCGGGACGCGGGGAAACCGCGCGGGCGTCGCGATTGGTCGTTGAAATAGGCGCGCAAGCATCGGCCGAAGTTGATCTCCCTCCGTGCGGCGTGCCAACTAGAGCCACGTTCAAGTTGAATTAGACATTCCAAACAAATCGTCGAGGCAGCGGAAGGTTCGGCCGCGCCGGAATAACCGAGAGGTGTATTCACGAGACCGCGCCGGACGGAGCGGAGCACATCATCTGCGAACGGCGGTGAAGAGCAGGACGGATGTCGCCCAGACGGACTCGCGCAGGTGAGTCCTGGACGATTCCCTCCCTCGGCTTCGGATGTAAGGTTATACGCTCCCCTCGGACGCGATGCAGGTACCCTTGCGTCTCGTCGCGCGCGGCTTTCGAAACGCCACGTTTGTCGAATCGTGATTTAATCGCCATTCGAAGTGAAATTGCCCAATTTCCGTCGTCGAGCGGGCTCGGATCCAAGCCCCGATTCAATCAAGCCTCGACTCAATCGTTTGCCGGATTTCCAAGTTGTACAATTTGCCATCCTTAATTTTTCTCCTTCGAACGATAATTAATTAATAATTTTATCCCTGATATTACATTATTTGGTAGGTTAATTGGAGCTTGATCGGGAGTCCCGAGTCAACCTTTAGATGTTTTCGCGAAGCCTTCGACGGCTTCGAATGGAAAATTGGATTTTGAGATATCTCGTTACTTTGCAGCAACAGCGGAATCTGCCGTCTCTACTAGATCTAAGGCACAGAAGATAAATAATGTGAGCCAGGATGTGGCCGAGTTGGCGCAGAAGGTCAGGCAGTCCCAGAGGAAGGAGAAGTCGGCGAGCGTTAGGAAGAACGCTTCGGAAGCCTCGACTAAGCAGAGCAACAGAAAGAAGTCGCCCGAGGTAACGTTGAAAGGGTCCCCAAAGAAGAGAACTACTCGCCGGAGACTTAATTTGAAAGCGGATGCACTTGTAGCGCAAGATGAGCAGAACGTGAAGCTCGGTGAATCAATTAAAATATTGAGAGACAGGCATTGTGACAATATCGCGACGGTGGAACTCGTCAAGACCAACTTGCTTCACTTGAACGTCTCGAAAGGTCTGGAGAAAATGCCTAATGAGTTAGAACAGAAGGCAAAAATGTCGCCTGGCAGAGTCACTCCCAAGAGCACACCCCCCAAGCTCAGTCTCACACCTCACAGGTCTAAGAAGACACCCAAAAAGTCACCGATCTCCCTAGGCTCTCCAAAGACGCACTCGTTAGCCATATCAAAGCTGTTTAAGAGCCCAAGAAAGTTGTCCCTCGCTGCCGAGGGCGAGAGTTCCGAGAGCTTAGAAAACTCGAGTAGTAATTCTCACAGTAAGATATCGCGAAAGAGAAAGAAGGGCAGTCTAGGCAGTAGTCCTATGCCCGACAAAAGTGCATCGACGTCACCGACGGTGAAAAACAAGCGCAAGAAGTCTGATATAAATTTAAAGAAATTTGTACGTAAATTCTCGAAATCTCCGAAAATAGTGCTGAAGTCCCCGAAGTCGAAGAAATCAAAGGTACGCAAATTGAAGTTGTCGCCATCCCGGGTGCGAAAGAGCACGCCGAGCACGTCTCCCGCTAGTCCCGGTGCTACGTCAAGTCTTAAGAGTCCCAACACATCCAGGATCAGCGCAAAAGAATCTCCTTTGGCCAAGGAAAAGTTTTTATCTCCAATCAAACGTCGTTTATTAAGTCCAAAATTAAAAAAGACATTGACGGCCTCGCAAATAAAGGACGTGCTGGCGGAACCGGTGGTGCTGTTGGAGAAGCTGTCGCCCGAAAGCATGAAACGGAAATATATGGTCGCACGCAAAATCCAATTGAGTACTTCAGTCAAAGAAAAATCTCCCTCAAGCGGGACAAGGAGCAATTCCAAGTTATTGGTGTCAATGGAAAAGACTTCGACAGGTGCGTCTCCTAAGCGAAATTCCAGCACAAATTTAAGGAAGAGTAGTATGGAGAAACGGACTGGTAGTACTGACAGAGCATCGCCAAGAATTAAACATAATACGCCGATACAAGGAAAGAATAGATCACCCTTAAAGTCGTCCACTCCACGACAGGAGAAAACTGCATTAAGAGACACTAGCTTGACGATCTCCAATACTTCTATCGATTCTGTAAATAACGCGTCTTTCAATGCTAGATTAACTAGACACAGGAATCAGTCCAATACACAGCTATTTAGCTCGATGGATAAAAGTACAGGTATCGAAAATGTGTCTGCACCTTTCCTATTTGATAAAGAAATTATCGATACTAGTCAATCTCGCCTTTCGAACGTCGTGAAACGGGACACTACCTACGACAAGGATAATACGATGGAAAAGCAGCAAAAGGACAACACCTATGAATTGGAGCAACCGCAGACACCGAGCTTACGACAAATGGTCAAGAAGCGCACTTCAGTAAACGCGAATTTAAGCTCGAGAGATAACACGGTTAAGAAGGCTAAAGTACGTTTTGCGGATGTAACAACTGGCGCAGACAGTGCGCAGAAATCGGTTAACAAGCTCAACGGATCACGATCAAGTATATTACATAATGTTGGTGCACAGTATAGAAATAATGCCATGAATTCAGCACAAAAATCTCAAACGAAAAAAGTTCAATCTCCAAAGTTCAATCGGAACTCGCTAATTTCTCCCTTCAAGAGATCAAGTCCGAGAGCACACGGCGGCACACCGAGCACTCAGTTGAGCAAAATTAATCAAGTCACACCAAAGACGTTTGCGTCAGTTGAAAAGAAATCAGGTAAAGCAAAATCAAAAAGTCGCTCGTTCTTCTACATTCATTTCGCTTTTATTGTTATGTTCTAATAACATTGAATTTAGTTACAGAGAAAAAATCATCGATGAAAAAGAAAATGCCGAATTTCGGAAGGATACACGAGGAAATGTTTGCCAAGTCAGAATCGCTTGTAGATGCGAAGAAACGTTTGGAGACCAGACATCTAGCGTTCGGTAATTTGATGATTTGATTTATTATTCCGTGTACATTGGCAATTTCTATGAATGCTAATCATTTTGTATAAATCGTTTTTTGTAGCTGCTAACAGAATTTTGAAAGAAGGGAAGGCGGATCAGAAGAAACTATTACCGAGCGATACAAGAGACGGTATTCACAACAGATTTGGATTTAAATTGAAAAAGCCGGAAGCCACGCACGTTATGTTGAAGAAACAAACTGTTTTTTCAAGGTACACTAAATTTATTTAAAAAATATATATATTTTATAGAACAGATTATTTGCAAGACTATCCTTATGTGTATTAGAAGCTTAAGATAATTTTGGGTTTAATTAAATTTTATTGAACATTACGACTGTATGTGATGAAAAGGATTTTAAAAGTGTTAGATTGAATAATGTAGATATAGTCAAATATCATGAATAAAAAGCAATGTGAGCCGCTGCAGTTGTTATTATATTAATGCAATAATTGCATTAATATAACAACTGTATGAATTGTTAAGCAAGTATAATCTTTGTTCATTGTAAAATATTTCATTGATTCATGCACCTACAACTGCGGAGGCTTACATTGCATTTTATTCGTGATATTTGATTTATTCTTGGAGCCTTTGTAATTATATTTCATTTTATTAATGTAGCTATAGATCTGTTTATTAATATCACAATAACGTCAAAATAACATTAAAATAAATCATGATTAATCGGAAAGTAACTTATAATTATTTTGAAGCCATTTTGATATCATGATGACTTTTTGTACCTAAGCAGCACAAAAAGTCATCATAACATCAAATAGCTTTAAAATGATTATAAGTTACTTTCCGATTAATCATGAATTATTTTAACGTCATTTCGACGTTATTGTGACCTACTATTTTGCTTAAGTGTGCGTGTGTGTAAAATTTGAAAATAAAATTCAATATAAAATTTTACACGAGATATGAATATTTGCAGGGAGAAGCAGCAAGCAGAAACGCGGATGGTATTGCAGGGTGTACGAACAAATCGGCGATTTGAACTGCAAATGAAGGCTCGCAATCTATTAATCTAAATGCGTAAAAATCATTTTATATGTCATGCATCCCAATCTTTCTTTTTGTTGACGTAGTTTATTATATAAGTTTTTCTCTCTCTCATAATATGAAAGTGTTTTTGCTAATTTAAGAACTTTTGAGGAGAGAATTTCAAAAGAGATAATTTGAGTATTTTATTTAATTATACTCTTGTAAATATTAAGGCGTGTATCATATACTCCTTTTTTTTTCTAAGGGAAAAACTAAAATATTATTTTTCCCACACGTATAATTGATTTATTACCGTAAATGCAAATTTAAAAAATTGGTAATACATGTATTTGTAAAAATTTACATTTTCACAATAAGTTTGCTTTTTTAACTAATGAATTATATTTTCTTTTTTTTTTTGTTGCTTTTTAAGTATGAAGGAGGATCTAGGAGTAAAGAGATTCTAAGATTTTTCACAAAATTTTGTATTTTCTTTTGGGAGAAATTTTATATCTTGAAATGGGAGAATGAAAACTTTGAATTATTAATATTATAAAATTATATAATAAGACATAACAAATAATTTAATACTTAATAAAATATTAACTAAAATAATTCATAAGATAAGTATTAAATATTTTTATGTATTATTTTTAAGTTGCACATTAAGCCATTGACCATTTTCAGGCAACTAAGATTTTAAAGTTAGTCTGTTTCAGAACCGACTTGATCAGCTTTTAATTTATAGATAGAATTCACAATATAGTTGTCTGTATTAATTAATACTTGCAGTTAAGCTCTATTAACGATATTGCCGATCGGTAAGCTCGTATCAAGATTATAATTAATAAATACGCTCTAGCACATCTTGGATGTCCTGTATAAAATTAACTGTAAAATTACTTCTTGTAACCTCAGAACGTAATTTGAAAGTTATTTCTAAATGCTTGTTCTTCGTGTATATAATATACATGTGTATGTACACGATGTTAAATAAGCGTTACCTGTCTAACAGGACCATAGCATGTTTAGCTTTGATTGTATCCTGGATCCTGAAAGATAACGCGGCCTGTGTATTGCGTCACGCCGAAAGAAAGATTGTTTCGACACAGGAAGGACATAAAGTCGCCTTTTTTTCCTATTCAATTAGCTGGAAGATGAAATATTATACGGCAATGTCTGTCTAATCTTAATTGATCCCTCTGTAATACAGAAAGATTAATCGATTTTAAAGATTTGTAATATATGTGATCAGAATAAGTCTTAGTTAAGGCCTGAACTCGACTTTGTAAGCTAAGTTTTTTTTTTATTGAGAGCTATGTAAGCAGGATTATTGAGAAGCCTGACGAGAAACTTTGTACGACTTAATTGTATCCGCGCGAAAATGTATTGTGCTCTGAGAAAAGAAGAAAATTCAAAGTAATACTGGTCCTACTTTGCTAAAGCTTCTCCATTGGAGAGCTTCGACCGAGCGAGATTATCGAGAAATCCACGATTTGTATATATGATGTTTCGCGCTAGGAAAAAAAAACAGGAAAATTAACTGTAATCTGAATAAGGAAAGAAGGGAATAAGGGTAAAAATAATGTATGTGTTTTAATAAAGTTTCTTTCTATCTTGTCAGATCATCGTCATCAGTTTCTTTGCCTCTTGTCGGAAGCGCGGTGCGCAGTGTAGAAATGGTGTCATGAATTCAACATAAAATTATCGAAAAAGGTTCACTCTCTAAAGTTCACTCGGAATTCGCTAATTTCTCCTTTCAAGACATCAAGTCCAAGAGCACACGGCGGCAAAAAACTGACCCTGACGGAAATGGTAATATTTTCAATTGATTAGCTTTTAAAGCTCCTCCTGAAACACATCGGATTTTTGTTCGATCGCTATATATTCCTCTCGGAAGGCAAATCATTGATTTTCGCGGTGGCAAAAAAAAACTGATTTTCTTGAAGTTTATGGTAATATTTTCATTTTAGGACTCCTAAGACAAAAATGTTACCATTACTTCAAGAAAATCAGTTTTTTTTTTGCCACCGCGAAAATCAATGATTTGCCTTCCGAGATGAATATATAGCGATCGAACAAAAATCCGATGCGTTCTCGGATTTGAATCTGAGTCTTCGGCACAGGAAACAGACGCATAACTCTCTACGCCACGCGATCGCTACCTGTATCTCGTTGAATATGTGTAATATATTTCTTGCCTTGAGAAAGGCATTTAAGGGAAAAAAGAGCAGGATGAAAGAGGAATCTTGTTTCGCTTTTTTTCATTTTTGTATTAAATTATTTGACGAATTCTGGAGTAATTCATTCCAATCTTGCGTTTACGATAGTTTTAAATGCGATTTCGAAATATGCAGTATAATTATAAAATTATTTCATTCAGCCGGAATCTTGAGGCCTAAGAGCTAAGACCGGACTTATAAGATCTTTAAATTTAAGATCGGATTATCGCACAGATTACAAATCGTCCCTGAACAGCCGGCGGCGACAAACACAACGGAATTTCTTCTCGGGCTCGACCTTCGTCGTCGTGATTGTTGCCAGTTGCGGACGCGGTCTGAGACGCCGGCGCCAATCGCCGCGGGGACGAGACACGTGTTGCGTACGCGTGCACATAAAAACGCGAGCGGCACGCACGCGCACTCACGGCCGGGAGCGGGAGCGCGGTCAGCGGCGCGGAGAGCGCCAGGGAGGCCACCACACGGGGGCGAAATCGCGTCGTTCTCGTCGCGCGGACTAACTAGTGTGGCCTGTCACCCGCTTTTTTGTGACAGATGTTTTGCGCAATTAATCCGCTTTGTTAATTCGCGGTCGCGAGCGTGTACGAGGGCTATACGCGCTCGAGCCCCCCCCCGTCCCCCCGCGGTTCCACGAGCGCGTTATAGAGCCACGCGTCACCACCGCGCCCGTCTTGTCTTGTGCTGTCATCGTGTCGGACAGTGTCGGAAAAGTCGGAGAGAGCCATCGGGAGAGCCCGGAACGGACGAGAGAAGGAGGGACGAGCGAGCGAGCGAGCGAGCGAGGAGGAAGGAGAACGCGCCTCGTCAAATGTCTCGCGGACGAGGTGGTTAGATATCTTCGGTGGTGAGAAACAGAGAGAGAGAGAAAGAGAAAGAGAAAGAAAGAAAGAGAGAGAGACAGAGGGACAGGAAGAGAGACAGAGAGAGATAGAGAGACTCGGCCAGCTGGTCCTGCGAGTTTCGTGGTCGCCACTCTCTCTCACGTCGCCGCAAACGCCAGGAAGCATCGTTCCGTGGAAGCGCCCGGGGGGTCGTGGGTGAGCGATAACGATCGCTCTCGGGGAAGCTCTCAGCGGCGGCGGCGGCGGCAAGCCCGTGCTCATCATCGCCGGCGACAATGGCAAAGACGTACGACTATTTATTCAAGCTGCTGCTGATCGGCGACTCCGGCGTGGGCAAGACCTGCGTGCTGTTCCGTTTCTCCGAGGACGCGTTCAACACCACCTTCATCTCGACCATCGGTACGTCTCTCTCGCGGTCTCCGCGATCTCCTCCGCGCCGACTCTCCCCCCGCGCGATCCTCCCCCGCCCCCCCCCCCCGTCCGCCTCTACGTCGTATTTATTAATCGCCGACCACGGCGGCGCGGGGTGTGTCCGCGCGCGCGGACCGCGCGGAATGTTACACACGATAATGGACAAAGGGCACATTATGAGCGTGCTCGCCGCTCACAGTAACGTGATTCATCCTTGTACCGCGCGCGCTCGCCCACCCGGTCGCACCTCCCCCCGCCGGTATCCCGCGGATGGAGCGTGCCCCGGGCTAGATCTCTCGATTCACCATCTCCTTGTACGTTTCAGGCATTGACTTCAAGATCCGTACCATCGAATTGGACGGGAAGAAAATTAAGCTACAAATATGGTAAATATGTCTTCATGTACATCCTTCCCCCGCCGCCTCGCGCCTCGAGCACAATTTAAATCCCGCCGAAATACTCGGAACTTGGATACGTACTGCGATGTATAGCGGCGGTGTGTTTTTGCGCTTGCAGGGACACCGCTGGACAGGAGAGGTTTCGCACCATCACCACGGCGTATTATCGCGGCGCGATGGGCATCATGTTGGTGTACGACGTTACAAACGACAAAAGTTTCGAGAACATTAAGAACTGGATTCGTAATATAGAGGAGAACGCGTCGGCGGACGTGGAGAAGATGTTGTTAGGCAATAAGTGCGAGCTCACAGACAAGAGGCAAGTGACGAAGGAGAGGGGCGAGCAACTGGCTGTGGAGTACGGCATTAAGTTTATGGAAACCTCGGCGAAGTCTAGTATCAATGTGGAGGAGGCTTTTTATACTCTGGCACGCGATATCAAAGCGAAAATGGAAAAGAAACTGGTAAGGAGACACGAATCATGCCGCGTGTACAACGAGAATACGGATATTCATTATCCGATTAGATTAGATTCTGCAGTCAATATATTCACGTTTTTTGTAATTAATGTGCTGTAATCGGTATTCATATTTCAAAGCCGTCTGAAAATCTATACGCATATTAATAATTAGAAATATGATTTAGAAAAAAAATACGCTTAATCGTATATTAGTTATCACACGAACATATTTCTTGTTCCTTATGTGTACTACGAAATAACCAACTGTTTCTCTGTTTCCTGTCTCTGTTTCTCTGTGTTTGGTGCTGGTCTATCTTGGCAGAAGGTAACTTTCTTCCGTACACCGTTGGTTTTTAAGTTAATTACATATCTCGAATTCTATAACGTAACAACACCAGCAAAGCATTTTTTTTTTTTTGGGATGATGTATCGCTGCATCCTGTGATCATATGTCATTTGCAGCTTCTGTTCATTCATTTACTTTAACAATATCGCATATGCAAGCGAATGTCTACTAAAAAAATATTGCGACTTCATGCTAATCAAATAACTCTCTTAATTCAAACGCATTCATTGCCTGAAATATTCCTTACACATCCGATATCAATTCCAATCTATGTGTCTTACTCGAGCAGTGCAGATATGTCGTTTTTGCATTACGTTACGCTAAGCTTGCTTAACACCTGGGTTCATGTTACGTTATTCGCAATTAACTCTGTGACAAATATGTCTGATAATTGAGCAAATACACAAATTGCAATGATAATACGCATGCTACGTTACGTTTTTGCGTTTACTAACACAATTATCTTAATCGCTAGACTGAATGATAAATAACGTTTGAGCCACAAATAAAGTGTGTATAAAAGACTGGCGTGAGATTACGATGAGTTTCGTGCACTAAACGTATTTGCTTGTGCCATGCATTCTGTTAATATTTGTCTTGTTTTACGCAGGAGGCATCGAATCCACCGAAAGGCGGCGGTCATCAGTTGAAAGCTTCAGAACCACAGAGGAAGCCACCTAGTTGGCTCGCCCGTTGTATTATACTCTGACCCCCCAAATATTTTCAACCGTTCGAGGAGGCGCATCTATTTACTATCATTATTTACTTATGTTCATTTCGTCGAACAAAACCGATGTTCCATGGAACTCTTCACATCCCAAGTATCGGGTACAGCGGGTATATTCCTTGACAATGAAACGTCATTCGCGTCGTAATTGAGGACCCGGAAATTATTCGCATGAGTGTATCTTTTTCTTTTTTGCCGAAGAAACCCTCAGAGGAGAAAGTATTGAAATTTTTTTATTATTATCATATATATAGAGAAGAAGAGTGAGAGTGCATATCGTTTTAGTTGATACAACTGCTACAGTTTGTTATGCAAATATTGTTAATCGATATAATTAAAAGGACTTAGGTGAAATAGTTCCACCCTCTCCCACCTCGTGATGACTTGAAGTTGACTGGGATCTGTAATCCCATCGCGATGTGATCTGTTGTATTCTGTCGTCTATTGAAAAAAAAAAAAAAAACAAATTTACGATGTAATTTATTAAATCAGGTAACAAAATATTACATGTGATATATTAAACAATGAACTTCTCCTCTGGTTTTCTTATATATCAAGGGTAATGGTCGATTTTGTCTCTAGCGAGAGATCACTGTTTTTAAGTGTAAAAGTACGTGTTACTTAATTTTTATGGCAACGGGATGAAGTATACGGTCTTTCTTATGCACGAAAATTCCGCAATTCATATTTCAGTATAATTTTTTTTTTTACATCGTATGTGTTTCTCTTTGTCGGAGGACCATGTGTCTGTAAAAGTATAAATATATGTAGAAACATACATCACACACACCGTACAACATCACATACAATGACTAAAAGTAAGGGGGAAAAAAAAAGTAAAATAAAATTAAGATTAAGCAGTATAGGTATCACAATCGTTTTTATACTGTTACTAAGCAGATATAGCTTTTTCACAAAATTAACGGGAAAACGTATAAAGTGTACTAGAGCATTAACTGATGTAACTAAAAATGCCTTGTGACGAATTGAACAAGAACTTTATAGAGACAATTTTGTTATATCACGGATAGTCATAGAATTTTTATTAGGTCTAAAAGAGAGAGAGAGGGAGGGAGAGAGAAAGAGAGGCGAGCGTAAGGTACGCGAAGCTTATCTTCCGGCGGATTTACTTTGCATCTAGAGGTAGATTCGTTTTTACAGGAATCTGCAGTAAATTGAAAGAAGAAGAAAAAAAAATAAACAAATCTCTTTCGTTCGCTGGTTGTCATGATGTGCATCTTGCAAGTTTGCATTTTTATGATCGGAACTTGTTCAACTTATACTTAAATATACAAAACGATTATTATAATACATTTTTTATTAATCCTGTATATAACACGTGTCAGTATATTTATTGATAAAATCCTGTCCTGTTATTCTTCTATGTGAATGGCGGAGATGGTTCTCCCGTCTTCGGGCGCCGCGCGTCGTAACTCGCGGATTCTTCCGCGGAGCCTGCGTTTCTGACGGCCATCGAGGCCAGCATGTATTCCAAGTCTCTGATTTTCGCTTTGTCCTTTTGATGTATCGCGTGCGTGCACAGGCCGACAGTTTGCAAGCGTTGATTGAAGACTACAGTCTCTTCGCAGGATTTCTGCAGTTGTCGGTGCTCCTCTCTGAGTCGCGCGATTTTGCTAAAAGATCAACGATGAATTATGAAGCTGCAAGATCAAATTCTCCGCCGCTTCGACTATCGACGTTATACCGTCGCAGAAAAATCAACTGGAGAGTCCGTCGTTCGAGTTAAGATTGGAAATAAGGCCGCGCGTGTGTTAAGATTGTGATTCCATGTGAAATAATTAATACGCGTAAGATTGAACGTTTTCTCATTTTTAATTGCGAGCTTGTTCGCAAACGTACTGATCGATCGCGGCAATAACGCGCGAACTGTCACGTTCAAGCCTCGTCAGAGCTTGCTCCATGATCCTGTTGCTCGCATCCGTCCGGCGCAGCTTCTCCTCCAGGCTCCGAATTTGGATCTTGCACTCGGCCTCGCGCGCCTTCGCAACCGCGGCTTGGCTCATCAGGGACTCGCATTGCTTCGCCATCGCGTCGTACTTGACCCGCAGCTGAACGCTCTCGACCTGGTTCATCGTCTGCTGCTGCTGCGACTCGTTCGCCACCTCCGTGACCGCTCGCAGACGCATCCTCAACTCGTGGGATGCACCGCGCTCTTTCTCCAGCTCCAGTTCCGTGCTGTACAAAGCGTGACGAGTTTCCAGCAGCTCCTTCTGCATCGTCTGCAGGGTATTCTGCCCTCGAAATGTACATAATTTATATTATTATAAATTATACAGTTAATAATCGAATCAGCCGCGGCATAAAGCGCTTATTAATTCCGTAAAAAGAGAAAAGAACGTTAAATTTTTGTTTTAACATTATTAAATTTCTGTATTGGGAGAAAAGATTTATAAAAATCAGTCTGTATACGGCACGAGTTATTTTCAAACTTTAAAGTAAAAAATAAAATTATTTTCTTTCTTTTTTTTTTTTAAAAAAAGATTTAAAAAACTATAATTTTCATAAAGGTAATTTTCCATCGAGCAAATCCAATTAACTTAATACTAAACTTGGTAATTAATTCCATCGGCATTCACAGCAAAGTTTATAATGAATATAATTACATGTTATAATACATTGTAATTAGTATAATTTTAATTAACGTAACAATTTAATATAATTCGTCATCTCTAATCTAATCTTTCGTTTTCACGTATTAAACAAGAATTGATTGCATTATGTATTCTATTAGCCCACATTCCGTCACAGTAGCTTGGTCCACATTCACAGTGATTTCGACCAAATTCCGATTAACTTTATCAATGCAATGAACCGGTAGAATTGCAAAATTTCTAAGTATATAATTCGTTGTCTGTAATCCAGTCTTCCTCCCTCAGGTATTAAATAGTCAAAAACTAATTATTCTATTTACGTTGGCAAACTATAGCACGAGCGTTACTTGTTAATCGCTTCGGTGAAGTAAATTGAGTTCGGTCGAAGTGTCGCCCTTATAGATACCACTCTCTAAATATTTCCGTAATATTCGGTAATATCTATATATCTCTGTGTGTATATTGATATTGCTTCATTTGCATTGATTTAAGAACATGCACAGATGCACCGGCTGGGCGCAAAGGGTTAAGTGCGCTTCGAGTGTTAATCAATATAAAGCCATTCGTATTATTCACCGTGTTGCTTTGCAACTCGCACAACTTTTCGCGGAATTGCTGCTCCAATCGAGAGACGTCTTCCATGCTCGGCATGTTTTCGTCGTCCATAATTCACGACGTGTTCTCACCTTGGATTACAATTATTAATTAACGCGTGGAACGCGTCTGAAATTGTCAGCTTTAACTCTAGCTCGCTCTTCCACGTTTGCAACTGCAGTTCACTTTAAATAAAAAAGATAGCAATTATAGTTATTTTTAACAAAGATAAATTTGATTTGAATAATGAATTATATAATACAAAATAACTTGCAGATATATATGTATGTTATGTTTACGTCATTCGCAATTTGCGATACATTTTCGCTCTGGAGCGTAATTCTTGTAATTAACACGTCTGAACTTCTCCGCTTTAAACTTTCGCACCTGCGATTGTTTTCAAGTAGAAACGCAAAACATGGCGACTTTTCAAACAGGAAAGTTGACTAACAATTAATTAAAAAATTATGATAAATACAATATAAAAGGAATTTAATACATTAATGAGCAGTCCGTGATCTTTTTCTCGAATACATATATCGCATGTTTAATTATCTTAATCTGCTTATATAATCTTATCTCATAATTCTCTATACATGCTTGCAGTATTTTAAGCTTTCGTTTTGGTCGTACTCGAGAGCTCGCGTTTGTACTTTGTTTTCATTTTTCGCACCTAAAACACCGGAAATAGCGTCTGAGCATCTCTCCATTTTTCATTCTCATGTACTTTGCTGCATTAACCTTTTAAAAAGAAACAGAAAGATAGGTCACAGATGCTTAAAACGGGAACAAAGTGAGATTCAGAGATCTCCTCTCTCGCAATAACACTTCTATATAGAATCTCTCTACAGGGTGCCTCGTTTTATTTCTTACGCTTTTTACATTTATAAATAACAAAAAATTTGGAAAAATTTCTCATTAAAATTTAATAGTTTTGATAGTCGACCTATCTGTGTGTGTGTGTGTGTGTATTTACATCTAATTTAACTTGATATAGTCAATCTCTCTCATTTTTAATGCAATCAAATCTCATTTAATGCCTACATATTAAATTTTGAATGGCTAAATGATATGATGGCTTGAATGATATCATTAAGATGTGTTCAAAGAACCTCCCATTTAACTTTGATAATGGATCTTTTTATATAGTTCGTTATTCGTTATTCATATTTAATTCGAGCTAGACGAGTTAGTCTCTCTCTCTCTCTCTCTCTCTCTCTCTCTCTCTCTCTCTTTCTAAGATCTGTGTATATCTGCAACACGTTATATCTGTGACATTTCAAAGATAACACATTTATATAATTGCAATTATATATATATATATATATATATAAAATCTTATCTTATTCTCTATACATGTTGCAATATTTCAAGCTTTCACTTTAGTCGTACTCGAGAGCTCGCGTTTGTACTTTGTTTTCATTTTTCGCACCTAAAAGGGAAGTAGCATCTATACACCTACATATATATTATAACTTTTATAATGCAATTAAATATATAATTTAATATTTGTTTCTTTGAATGGCGATAATGCTAAAGTGATATCACTAGCGAATCTGCTCAACATCAGCCACTTAACACACAATTCCTGTTTACCGCTATACAAACTTTACAAATTCGGCGTTATAATCACCCAGTATATCCGCGGCCAGAATTACAGATCTGGCACATGGACCAAATGGAGTTCTGGGGTTGAAAGCAGCGGCGTGGTGGAAAGAGAGAGAGAGAGAGAGAGAGAGAAAGACAGAGGATGGGGAGAAAGAACAGGGGGTGGCCGCATGCGCATCCCCCGGAATAGCGGAGTCTCGGGGCCACCCCCGCCGATTATGGATGTTTAGTATCGACGTTGTTGCTGGCGTATCGCCGCTCGCTCCCGCATCCGATTGCAGGGTGTGTGATAATTGGTGCTCGAGAGTGCGACGGGAGGTCGAGGGTGCCCTTGCCGTGTTCCTGGCGCGGGATAATGAGCGGGATCGCGGGACGGCAGCCGAAATCGTACGGCGACGCGCGATCATGCGTCCGTCTCGCTACCTGCACGCCGCGTTAGCGTCCCTCGTCGCCGTCAATCATGATCCTGCGTGACCGTGATCCGCCAGGACACCAGCAGCAGCATGCCGCGCGACGACCGTTCGGGGAGGACGCGTGCACGTGTCGCCGCGATTGCGACCACGACGTTGCTCCTGCTCACGCTGAATATCAAGTGCATAGGTGCGTGTATACATTTTATACCGTAAGATATATACGTTTCAGTAGCGACAATTCTTACAATCGAAATTTTTCAAGGGGAGGGGGACGACAGAATTGACAACGAATATTCCCGGATAATTAGAGAACCGTAGAAAAAGTAGGATATAATGTATACGGAAGATGAAATTTTTAATACCTCTCGGATGTTAGGGGATGCATCAATTAGCGATTGTATCAAGCCAACTGATCTTGAATGAGAAAGTCACGTTTCTGTAGAAAAATCCATATAAATATGACATTTTCTTTTGAGAAAAGATATTAATTGTATTTATATTGTTACAATTTATTTGAAATATTAGATAATGTATAAAATGAATCTCTTCTCGCGGTGCGGAAGAGAACGTAGATTTTACAAACCGTCTTTTAATTCTAAGAACTGTGGATTATTTCTTTATAAACGTGAATCTTTAACACACGATTAATTCTATTTATTTGATTTTCTATAATCTTATCATTTTGTATAAAAGAATCGTTATTTTCTTGTCGTTAAGACTTGAGTTATCCTTGACAACATTCAAGGGAAAGCACGTGTGCAACCCTTTGCATCATGTTACGATCGCTCATGAACGCGACGTTAGTGTAACCGGTTTCGTCAATGTGCCACGCGATCGAGTCGGATCGATCTCTATTTTGGCGTTCATCGCGCAAGCCGCTATAAAACATGAGATCGATCTTCGGACGCTACTGTTGCGAGGGTGTGAGCGAGCGTGCGCGAACTAAAAAGATACGAGGTTCAAGTTCTCCAAGCAATCTGTCGTGTGTGCTTGCAGATACCGAGAATTTGGGACTGGAAAATGTTTGCATATTGAAAGACCTTCACCCTCTTCTTATCGTCACCTATAAATATCTCACTATGTCTGTGAGTATATCGCTTTTTTATCTTACTTCAGTAGCGGAACTGATAACATCAAAACTGTTGATAAGTTTATCAATAGTGACGAAGCGAACCTAAATGTAATGCAAGTCTGACAAGCTTAAAATTTTTATATTGTAAAAATTTTCATGCCATCTAAATTCGCGTATTTAATATTGTTTTAATTATTACTATTCGCTAATTAATTGCAATTTCAAGCGATTTAGTCGCCGGAAAAAATAATCAGTATAAAAATATATCTCCTATTTTTATATATCTATTCTTTTTATAACATAAAACTGAATATTTTAAATTTATCATTGCAATGGCTGTAAGGTTTCATGTTACAATTTAAAGCCAAGAAACTTTAAGAGAAAAACACAAAAAAAGAAGACAGAGTTAAAAAAAATATAATTGAAAATTCGAGAGCTTCGTTATTACTTCTCGATTTCGATTATTTTAGAGAACTAATGTATATTACAGGTGGACACAATTCGTGTACCTCACAACGAACGGTTGATGGTGAGATGTCGGGAGATAGGTAAATACAAGTTCATCGGCGACTCCTTGCTGCACTGCCGCAACGGCACGTGGAACGGAAAGGAACCTGTTTGCGTGCCTACCACAGCGATCTCCAATTACACCGGTACGTCATAATATAATCGTATTTGAGATCCGTATACAATGTAAGTATAAAGATATTACGAGAAAATATTAATAAATAATAATAATAATAAAATATTAATAATAAATGTCTATATATACACTCCGCTCCAATTATTCAAAAAGTTATGACTGACGAACAGAATACTATAAGAGAATACGTATAGATAACTTTTTTTATGTCCTGTAATTCTTTCACCTTTGTGTTGTACGAAACGTCGTCGACAATTCCTTTTTTTAATTTCGATCCTCGCGTTGTCCGAGGACGAAAAGAAAACGTGCCGCCGACCATCGACTTCGGTCTACCCGCTGGTTCGGCCGTGGTGGAGCCGACCGGTGCACTCGCAGTTTTCCCAGGAAGTATCCTGCACCTGGAGTGTCTCTTCGCTAGGAAGTTGGGCAATCCCGAGTGGACGTGGAGCTCAACCCATCGATATCCTTCGGGTGAGTCATGAACGTCGAGTGTTAATTATACCGCGAATCTGATGAAAATATAAGCGAGACCTATGAATTGTTACATCATTGAGACGTATACAGATTTAAATCAAATTTTTTTCCTTTAATGCTTTGAAATTCAAGCAAATTGTTCTTAAACAACTTACATTTTATTTACTTGTCCTAGGATGGGCGATCGCCGCACGGGAAAGAGACTGGAAGTATCGCCTGTCGATATTCTACGCCAAACCGCACGATTCCGGAATATACACGTGCACCACGCCGAAAGGATTCAACAACTCTATACATGTTCGTGTCACAGGTACGGCCACTAAATAAAATTGCATTTTGTATATAATAATATTATTATCAATATTGATCGCAGGCAGTAACGATGGTATAGTCGCCCAAATATTTTATGGCTTGACATTTTCAGACGTCCAGTGCCCGGGTTTGGACGCCCCGGAGCCGCCGTTAATCAGTCGCATCGAGGGCAGCCGATTAGGACACAGTGCCATTTTCGAGTGTCCGGTGGGATACAGATTAGAAGGTGCTTCCAGAATCACGTGCCAGTACAACGGTACGAAGCGACGCTTCCTCGCCGGTGCTGAGTACAGTTGGATATAAAATTTAAGAAAATTATGCTTCTTGCAGGCAAATGGTCGACGGAGGTGCCGCATTGCGAGAAGATCAAATGTTCGGAGATAAATATTCGAGATAACGCGTTATTGGTACTGAACGAGCACAATAATACCTACGGCGAGAAAGCCGTATTCATCTGCATGTGGGGATACAAGCTTTCGGGCTCGCAGAGTATGACGTGCGAAGGGGACGGCAAGTGGAATGGATCTATGCCGACTTGTCAGAGTAAAACAGTCATTTTGGAATTATTCTATTTTTAAACAATTCTTTAAATAACAATTTTTAAAATTTGAACCTGATAAACGTTAACTTCTATTCCAGTATTAATTTCTAAACCACTCGATGCTTGGTTGACATTCTTTTTTTTTAGACTTAACTTCTCTTTATAATCTCTTAACTACGGAAGTAGAATCATAATTTGTCCTCAATTGTAATCTTAGTAGAAGCTTTAATTAACAAATGATAACGATTTGTAGAGATCACTTGCCCTGTACCGGAAACGCCACCAAGCGGACGCATTGTCGAGCAGCCGCGATATGCCAACAAGAACAACAAGAAGCATTATCACGGCCGAACATACAAAGTCGGCGCCTTAGTGAGATTCGCCTGCCAACTGGGTCATCAATTGATAGGAGAAGCGGTCATCATATGCACTGAGAACGGCACCTGGTCTCACGATCCGCCCGTATGTGAGTGTCCGCATAACAAAGTTTTACAATATTCCAACATTTCAAGTGTGTAATTAATAATCCATTAATTTATAGCGCAAAATTGTTCTGCGAATTTCATTCAATTCAAAGAACAATAGAAATTAATGTAATATTAAAATTATTTTCCCCATATAATCCTTTTTGAAATCATTAAGATTTTAAAAACGACAAATTAATCAATTGTGTGATGTTCCGCAGGCAAGGTAAGATGCCCTTATCCAGGTGATCCCCCTCACGGCCGAATCGCGCCTCTGAAGTTTTGGTACAAACCAGGAGATAACATACAGGCGAGTGCAGTGGATTTTCTTTTATCGTGTAATAATGCGAGATTGGAATATACAATAAATATATCGATTAAACAGATTTTCCACAAATGTTAAAATATGTAATTCTGAAATTTATGAAACACAGGTAACATGTTCGCCTGGCTACGTGACTCCCCTGGAGCCAGTGAAAAAACCATCGTGTCGCGAAAACGGCATTTGGAGCGCGCCACCGCCGCCCTGCCGATCTTACAAGGAGGTGTGAGAGCGAGAAACTGAGTACTCCCAAGGATCTCTCATGGACTATACTGTGCTATTTTATCTTACATGACGAAGGACATTCCGATATTGATTATACGGGTAGCAAACGTGCATCAATACTAAGAGAACCGTGGAAACGTGGAAGCGTACTCACTTTGTTTCGAAGGGTAGAGACGTTACGTAAAGCATAATGATATTATCAGGATGAATATAGTCACAGTGTTACCGATTTACCGAATCGACAAATAATCACGAGTAGATTACACTGGAAGGAGCACCTTGCGTTGAACGTAGATCATGGAACGGCCAGTATTTTATTTATAATTTTCTTCCAGACGTACAACGATTTTAATAAAATCCCTTTTTCTTAATATCTTCTGTCAATAAATATTTTTCTCACGATCATTTCCATTCATTTTTAAATATATATATATATATATCTGTCTCTTATACACATCTC